GTCATGTGGCCCTGTGTTTTCCTAATGTTTACCATGTTTCCAGACCAGTGTGTCAACAATGATGTCCCCACCTTGAGACAACAAGGCAATTAATCACAAACTGTAAGTGTTTTTAGATCCTACACTTTAAGGAACTGATTTTCTGTAAGTGTCCAATTATGATATTTTGTGCCAACTCTAGTATAACTTTGGTAATAGACACATACATAAATATGTCAATTTTACTGGCACTCACTCTACATTCATTTTTTTCAAATAACTTTTTATATTTTTAATCCACTTCTCTAAGGTATGTTTTCACATTAAAAATATTCATTCAATCATCTTAATTGACAATAAAATTAAGGTTGTATAAAATCTTATCAATCTCATGTCATAATTAAACAAAAACAGCTATTCACTTACTTTGGCATTTTGCCAAAGACTTCTGTAAACAGTTGAAGGCACTCTTAGTATTTTAATGTCATAAAAAAAGCAAAATCGGGATTCATCTTGACAAAGTGTTTTAAAAACAATATCAATTAATGTTTTTGTCAAAGTCTATGTGAACTTTTCTCAACATTATTGATTAAGTCTGTCAGACTTGGGTTTTCTGCCATTTTGTCTCATATTTCTAATCAATTTCTATGAGACTGAAAGAATGAAATAATGAGCATAATGCCATCACAACAATTTTTGTCATTTCAGGAATTCTTTTCATTTTATTTCATTCAAATTTGTCAAGTGGAAGGAAGGTGTATATTAAACACATGCATATGCCATAAAAATCAATACGCATTTTAAATATTTGGTGTCAGATAAGCAACTGTGACATGTAAAAAATCAAGCAGACATATAATCCAATTTGGCTACTTAAAAAATGAAAAGCAAAGAATGATTACCCTTCGCATTAAACACATGTAAGTCTACTGAATCAATCTGCCAATTTTTTACCACAGCTAAGGTTGCTTAAATCAACAAACCACGATCCTTTAATGTAACTGTAGTTGGTTGAATTTCAGGTTAAATCATCTTTTAACAAAAATCAAACAACAATTGATCCATTAGTCAAACTGAAATATGGATCAAAGCAGCACGGAGTTCAAATATGGCATGCTGCTCATGAGCCTTACACTGCCTGACTGTACCCTGCAGTACTGGTGGCATACTCCCAGATCAATAGAACATGAACTGGGCACACCTGCAGTTAGTGCACCTCACCTGAGATCACGAAAACACACGATTTTCACCAATGATGAAGAATCAACCGAATTTACTTAAAAATGTGTTGCCTTTTTAGATCTTTTTTAAGAGAAAGGAAAATTTTCTAATTTTTTTAAACCAATCTCATCAGTAATTTAAGCAAACAGCTAGTCACTTAATTGGCTTATACACTGGAAATAAATATTCATACCTTGAGTTATCCCTCTCCCCCTCAAAACAACATCAAGAATAACTTGTGTTTAAAAACAAACTGACAAGCTGGCTCTGTGCTGTGTAATCCCACCTACAGAAATCTTTTGAAGGCATAGAGGTGCTCTTTTGTACCAATAAAAAAGCAGCTTTGTGACTGCAGACAGCCATAATACACAACTCCAACGTGACATGTTAAAAAAAAAATTAACTTCATTAGTAGTGAGAAGTACATTGAAATTGCAGATTACACACATAGGCTTAACATGTTGAGAAACTAATTTTTGTAAGGACAACAGAAATAAATAAATAATATAATGGTTTGGAAAACAGGTGTGGATATATACTTTATATCCATTAATACCACTGTTTCTAGAATAAATTAGCTGAAGTTTGCATTCGACTCCAATCATCAAAAGCCTGGTCAAATGCAGAATCATGAAGTAGCTTGTGACAAATCATAATTCCTCCAAAGCCTTTTAAAACATCTTGCAGGCAAACAAAATTTTGATTGCAGTTGTTGAGAACTGAACACAATCTCCCCGGTGCTAGTCACCTTTATACATGTCTATTTCTATCATGCTTGCTTCCAGGCGCTGTAGTTTATCAAAATGATATTGATAAATGGCCATTTTATTCTCAAAGTTTTCTCTGTTCTTAAATATCTTTCCTTACAAGCCCATTTGTAACTGACGGATCCATATCACTTTGTAGGGGGAAGCATGACTGAAGACACATGTTCACTGCCATTAATTTTTAGAATAATTTTGGTGTCTGAACAGGACTAGTTTGTTATCAGAAATATTTGTAGATCAATTCTATTCATAATCAGCAATTTAGTGAAAAAAAAATCAGAAAATATGGCAAGAGGTCCAGGGGGCCACATACACCAATGATATTTTTGGCTCACAGAAAGTTGGAAATCTACCAACAGTTGGGACATTTTTGTTATCTCCTCCTTGTGTATAATACAACTTCACACTACCATTCACAATATTTTGTCAAATTCTCTAGTTCACTGAGAATAAACAAAAAGAAAAGAAATATCAAACATTTAGATAAAAACAAAAAAATAAAAATAATAAATCAATGATTGATAATATTACCTAATTCTTGTATCTCTCTTATCTTTCTTATAGGCTCACAATACTTATATCAGTTTAATTTTATTTTAATTATTAGTACAGCTGTTCATTATATTAAGATATATACTTGTTCACTCACAAATTGGCAATCCAATTACCAATTAGAGAATGGTAATGCACCAATTGTATTGTTTTTTTATTATATTACATTGTACAAGGTCATGATTATTTATATACCAGTACAGAAATAAACTGAATTGAATTTCTTTTATGTTATCATTACTTTTTTATTCATAACAATACATATATACAATATCACTATATCAATAGATGTTAATTTGCACATAAAAAAATACTTTTCTAATGTATTTCAGAAACAAAATTAAAATCTGTCCCTGAACACCATGAACAAGCATAAAAGAGTTTGAGTTTGTTTTTTTTTTTTTTTTTTCAGTCCTCCAGTTTTCTTTTGAAATAGCCATCACATGTCTCATTTGAGTCATATCATGCAACAAAAGTTTACATTTCATTTAACATAATTTCTTACCTGTGTTTCAAGTACAAATGCCTTTGAAAGTAGCACAGCATTAACTATTCCTGGAAAAAGTCTCATACATATACTTTACTCATTTTCTTAATGTAAATGTTTTTTTTCCACTAACCAATCTTTGATCCACCTTTCCTGACACTTGCTGCGACTCGGTAACAATCTGGGAAAATAAAAAAGTCCTTCATCCACATTGAGGGATGTTTTTTCTTTTCTTTTCTTTTCTTTTTTTTTTTTTTCAAATTCTACTATCAATTCCAGCTCTGCATTTCCAACTACAAATAACACATTAAAGATGGTTAACACGCATATGTGGTGAGGTTTGTAAGGAGGTACATGTACATGATAAATTAATTATTTTTGTAGAAACTAAGAGCGCATTCTCAACGAATTAAGCCAGGCTTTACAAAGCCGGTGACCTAAAAATGGCGGACGTACATGAAAGAAAAACCGCCTAATCTTTTAATAGTCTCTCCGCCTCCCCACACGTCGTCCCTGCGGGGTACAGTAATTAAATCGCGTCTCTGTTCGCCATGCGGAAGCTACCTGAGAAATATTAAGTGCGCATGCTCATCAGTTAAACTCGTGGTGAAGAAAGCATGGCAGCTGAAGGCGATCGAAGGAAAAAAGCTCTTCTGTTCTATTATCTTTGAAAACAGAGACGAAAAAGGAATAATTTGGCCCGTAGAGCAGCAATGAATCGACTATCTACGGAGATAATATCACCAGAGATATTCACGGAAATATTAATGTTCGGAGCCAAGATTTAATTACTGTACCCCGCAGGGACGACGTGTGGGGAGGCGTGTGAGAGGCGGAGAGACTATTAAAAGATTAGGTGGTTTTTCTTTCATGTACGTCCGCCATTTTTAGGTCACCGGCTTTGTAAAGCCTGGCTTAATTCGTTGAGAATGCGCTCTAATTCTTGCCATTAATCTGCAAAAATATGATAAAAAGTACTTGCCATCAGATAACTGATTTATATACTTAATGTGCAATCAAAAATTAACTTACAATCTGTCCCTTTAATTTAATTCTTAACAATGACTTAAAATACCTTCTGTTAGGTTTGTATCATCAATATCATCTGCCTTCAAGGTGGCACAAGAGGTATCCACCAGCGATCGCCAGTGTTGTCTGTCCGCTGCATAAACTGGAAAATCAAACTCTGTCAATAATATTAAATAAATAAAGCGCATTACATAAATAACATCCCCTGTGAAAAGTGCTCAATTTTTTATCGAAAACGAATTTTGTGATTTTTTTAAATTGAAACTCAAGTAGATCATTTCACCTCGTCTGTACGTGCCACTGATCAAGTCGACTTGGAACTACTAGTACGGACCGAGGTGTTGGGTTATCTCGGTTTAAGCAGCAGAGAAAACACTTAAACTGAGACAAACTGATATAGCAGTGGTGTTTGTTCTATAAAGCAACTTAGAAAACTTCTACTGACTGATGCATCATTATATGTAATCAATGCGTATTTTTTTCAACAAACGCTGCACCACACGCACCTTTAGAAGTGCTCGTATCTAGGTCAAAATTTTCGCGGAATTTTTCAGGTTTTAATATATAAATTGTTATAAGTATATATCTATACTGTTCATCAAACAAAAATTAATTTTTCATCATACCTTGAAATGTTGTACAAAATTTACTTTGTGCAAAGGTTTTTAGTTGGTAAGAGTGTATTTTTGGAAAACTTGATAAGTCTAATCATAAATTCTAAAATTCACCTAATACCTGATTGAGCAGCCCAGGTGAAGCACTGACAATTGTTACTATCAAAGTGAAACTTGTAGAATAAGGGCAGAAGTAGTTCATGTGCATTAAAATGCAAAAAAAAATCGATATATGTAGCTGATACCCACCCAAAATCCCTGTAATTTGATATTTTGACACCGAGATCGAAACTGCGGAGAATTAGCGTAATGCTGCCATCTGGCGGCATGAAATCGAGCTACAAATCAAAATAAAGATGGAGTGACTTGTGGGAAGAATAGGTGTTGTACCCATCTAAGTTTTTACGCCACACTGCGAGCTGCAAACAATTTTTATGTGCCGGGTCGTTGGGCTATGTTTATCAGGCCTCAGAGACTGAATTGAGGTGGTGAGCAGCTGGAACAATCGAAAAAGAGAGTATTTTACTTACATTTTCTTTCCCTGGACCACCTCCTCTAAACTTGTTGGACTTGGTTAAATCGGGCACCCAATGTCATTAGGAAGGCACAACCAGCGTAGGTAAGTCACAAGGGAGACAGGGCGAATCGCGTGAAGTTTTATGTAAAATTTTAAATATAATATTCGTACGTTGAAGTGTATAAACATATACTCTTCATCGTGTAATTTTTACAGAAATCCGTATGTCAGTAGTGTTACCATGCCAGCAATTAGCCAAACGTGAAACTGACGTACATAAACAGAAGGTATGCACTGTAACTGTTGGCGCTGCCAAGATTTCTAGCAGGAGTAATTAACACATTTGTGGCTCCCTTTCATCTTTATTAAAGTCGTTTGATATCACGGTATTTGCTAATATATATGGAGAGGTACACTGTAGTAATTGACTAGTATAGTAGTGTGGAGCCCCCAAAACACATAATATATTATATACATGTATACAGTAAGTATCAAAACACTTAGACTGGTACAAACTCGCTTTCACATTTGCTTTCAGCTGTTTTGACCTATCAAGATCACTAATCCAGCTAACTGGCCTTGCTGAGTGCTGGGTTTCCATTTAAGTGACTTGATCTCTTGTACATAATAGCCGACTCATTAAGCTGTCCATCTCTAACCTTTATAATACAGATATGTCTAACATAGGACCCACTAAACAATGGTGTAATGCATGCGAGGAAAGGCCAAACACTCCTATTGATATCCACAGTATGCGCCAGAGTTAAAATGGAATAGGTGAATTGTATTTGGAAATATCAACATTCTCACTGTGGAGTACATGTATTCAACATCATCTGATTTTTATTTGTAAACATCTGTCCTGCTAAACCTGTATGAGGCTATAAATGAAATTTGAGAAAATCTGTCCAGTTACTAGTATTATTAGGGTATTGCCTGTGTAAAAGCATCTGAATAGAATCGTTGCTTCTGTCGTTGCTATGGTGATAATTTGGGAATGGAAATGAAATTGTGGCCAGTTGCCAAATGTGACTGTGAAAATGAGTTGGTGTGTAACAAAATGAGCAAGTGCTTTCAAGCAGTGGCAAAATGATAGATATATGGTTTAATCCTGTAATGAGATAATTCCTCTCTATCATGTTTATTGTGTGTAGGTGGGTGTGTGGGTGGGTGGGTATGGCCTCATTCAGAATGAGAAGAGCCGAGTGTTAGCTAGGCCATGACCTAAATATGGCAGACCTACATGAAAGGAAGACTGCTTAATCCTGTAATGGTCTCTCCGCCTCTCGCACGGCTCTCCACACATCATCCCCAGACCAGTTGAATTGAGCCAAGATCTAATTACTGTGCCCCTGCAGGGACGACGCGTGGGGAGGTGTGTGAGAGGCGGAGAGACCATTACAGGATTAAGTGGTCTTCCTTTCATGTAGGTCCGCCATATTTAGGTTGTGGCCTAGCTAGCATTCAGGTCTTCTCATTTTGAATGGTCCCTATATGTACCAGACACTAAAATCTTGGGACTAATAGAATTGAAGTCCATTTATTGAATGAGCAAAGCCTGATACAGTCAGAGTAGATGAGTGTGTACATTTATGTGTTTTCTATGATGGGTTGCTTGGAATTGCCTGAGCCAGTTAACCAGGCAGTATTCTAATAATGAGTGGACAGTTTAAGTTTCTCTTAGCTTATCTCAAAAGGTAGCAGAATTCCTTGCCTTTTTAGCAGTGTGAGTAGATAAGGGGAATGAGAAATGATTTTCATCATTAAAACCTTTAGTGTACAACAGTGAATATTACAAAAATTTAAATAGGAGTATTGTATTACTCAGACTAATGGATTTGGAGCTATAAAAAAAGAAGTGTTACCAGTATTTTCATTTATAAAACAGTTTACAATATATTCCATGCTCCTTCAAAATTATGGCTTGTGTTGGCATACAAAGTTTTTGGTAATTGTTTTGATAGCAATTTTGGCTATAGAAAATGAAAATATTTTGTGTTGAAAACAAGCCCTTTTGCATCTCTCTCTCTCTCTCTCGAGATTTCCTTTTCCTGATAAAAAAAGAGAAAGAGAGACAGAGGCAGAGAGAGAAGTATAGCATCCATGTACTAGTATGCTTTCATTCACTGAAGAGTAAATCCAAATTAGCATGAAAAATGAAAATGAAATGCCTTCTGGAAAAAAATAAGCTACCACACATTGCTACTTAATATATAATGATCCCACATGGCAACATAAAATGTGCCCCATGTACAAATGTAGTAATGAATAGACCTATGCCACGTGAGTACCAGCTATAAGTGGCTTGTGACGTAAAAATATCTGATTTATTCAAGCGGAAAGATTCTCTGTGCATGACTGAAAATTGACAGGATATATATGTGGTTGATGCACTGGGGATCAATTAGCCTGATTACGACAGCCAGGACTAATAACAGCAACAACAACAACGATAATAATAGTAAAGAAATGAATGGATAGATCAATACATTTATATATAAATAAATACGTGTGTACTATATACTCATAGATGGGGATGAAAAAATAAATGCATTATTTAAATTTTTTTTTTTTAATATCTGAAAAATAAAGCAAGTAGATTCCAATGTTGAAGCCGATGTACTATGTTAAATTAAATATATCTGTATTCAGAGATATAAAGCAAGATTTTTTTCTTCATTTTATTTTATATTTTTGAATCCTTTTCTGTTTCATAAGATTGCACCACACCAATTTTGCCAAGTGGGTTTCCTCAATAATAATTTGCAAGTGAAATTGCTGTCTTGGTAATGAAGAATAACAACACCTTTGAAAATATTTCATGAATCTTGATTAAATCACAATTTTGGCTTGATACATTGATAAATATAATTTCTTCTCTTTAAATTATTTTAAATATGATCTTTGCCTTTGTAGGTATTCTAAAATCAATATTTGAGGAGAAGCACAGCATCATACCAGTAAAAGGGTAAGTTTTTATCAAGTGGCGTTTCTTTACAGTAAGATTATATAGACAAATTTGAAAACGGGTGTTTTTCTTGACATTGTTTTGTTATACCAAGACTTACAACCAACAGGCCTGATAAATATGTGCCAGAAACATGGTAAGTAATTTTTGTAGTCTTCTTTTGAAAACAGATTATTTTGAAGTGCTATGGATTATAATCTGATGTTAGAGCTCCTGTAGATTTTTTCGAGGATTCTTCAGTTAAATTTCTGCACTTTAGACTTGTAAGTTTTTATGTCTGCATGTTTAATTTTGCGTTATATATTTATTTGTGCTTGACCTTATATTGTATTATTTATGAACACTTCTAGCAGTTATGATATTTTTTCAAATGACATCTTTTTCTTCTCTTGTCAGGATTTTTCCCAACTCCCAAGAAGTAAGATTTTCCAGAAGTGAACATATTGAGAAGAATCTGGAAACATCTACAGATTGCTTCAAATTGGACCATGTGATAATCTCCGGTTTAAAACGTGACAACGAATCTGCTGTCTCTCTGACGTGTGACATGACATTTTTTTCTGCGGATTATGGAAGTATCAGCAGTAATAAAAAAGTGAGACTTCTTGGTTTCTTCGTGAAAAACACATTAGCCGCTCTCACTTTTAGGAATACAGTTTACACTTCAAAACTTGATATAAAAAGGTGACTGTGATTCCTGCTCATTTCTGACTGGAAAATGGACTGTTTTCTACAAAGATGCTTAAGATTATGGATTTGATTTTCTTCTTCTCCATCACTGTCTGATTCTTAGAATGTCAGCAATAGGCTAGTAACATAAGTGTACTAGAAATTTGTACACAGAACATTTTCGTAATAAAAACAGACAAGTTTATCTTTTTTAATGAGAAGTCGTTGAGCAAAAGCTCAGACTTTTAAAGCCAAAAACAAACTTAGTGAAACGAAGAGTGAGCAGTTTTGAAAATTTTGTTATTGTGATGTGGAAATAGACAACAGAATGCCAAATTCTGAGTGCAAAGATGCAAAACAATTGGAGGCCCGTGAAGATGGTAACAGTTGCAAGCTGGACGATGATTCGGAGCAGGATGTCAGCATCTGGCAGCAGTTGCCAGATGGGGTTCTGTACCATATCTTCTCGTTCTTGAGTGCACGCGATGTTCTCCATGCCTGTCTGACGTGTCGGCAGTGGATGCGTGTTTCATATGATGAATTTCTGTGGATGGAACTTTTTTACAGGTAAACAATTTTAGAGTACAGTTACGACAACTCTTCAGTCCTTATATTTGAGATTGCATTGAACTTGAGGTGATCATGAGCCTTGTTTGTTAGGTGTCAAGATAGAATGCAAAAATTGGGTCAGTTGAAAAAAAAAGTTTGGTTAATATCTTGCCAATCTGATTTGGCAAAAAACTTATTGCCAAAAAAAAGGGAAACCAGTCATTAACATTTATCTCCATACAATAACTTGGTAATCATATGTATACAGTTTATTATTAAACAAATAAAACTTTCTTTCCCAGAATGCTGGACATTAACAGGCAGGTGCCAATAGCTCCGGGGAAGACATCTTGGTACTACGAGTTTCAGAGACTCTACTATCACACCCCCGTGATTCAGAGCGAGAATCTCCAGGAAGGGCCAGGCCGCCACACCGATCAGGTGCTTCACGTCAGCTTCTCTCACAACGGGGAATATTTTGCAACTAGTTCCAAAGATGGAACTATCAAGGTAAGGACACGTGGTGCCTAACCCAGGCTGTGCCAGAAAACTTTACAGGCTGTTAGCCTTTCATGCAGTCAGGGTGTTTGAATATACTGGCCCAAAGCAAAAAAAAAAAAAAAAAAAAAAAAAAAAAAAAGAGAGATGGGCAGTTGCCGGACAAATTAAAGAAATTTTACAGTCTTGGCTTCATTCTTGCTGGCATGTGGTGTGGGGCCAGTATTTAAATGTGACAATATGCTTAACTTGAGTATGGTATGTCATTTCATAATTAAACTTTTTTCATAGATTTATTTTCTCACCATATTTCACGCATTTTTCATATTTATTTTGAGATTTATAATTTGTTTACATATATCCATTAAGTAAATTTTTCATTTATTGAAAAACTGAACTTATTGAAATAAAAGTGTATGGATTTTGGTTTGCCTGAAAGGATATTGGGTGCTCTGCACTGTAATCATGAGTGACATTTGATATTAAACAACTGCAAAGAGGATATTATGCCTATATAGGCCATGTCAAGACAAGGTATGATCAGTTACTGATTTCCAACCATTATTATCACCCTTTGATAGGGGAGCAGCCTGATTGTGCAGGTGCAAGGGAAATACTTCTAAAAACTTGCTTATTGGATAAGCTGTTACACATTTACTCTGTTAATATAAGGTACATTTTATACATGTTTTTTTCTGTTGAAGAAAAATGGCCAAAAAGCCAGTGTTTTGATCACTGAAAAAAAGAAAGAAAAAATATTGGTTGATGGCAAGATAAATTTTTGTATCCAGTCAAAATTTGACCGAATAACTTGTGCATAGATCTCTGTGTTGTAATAAGTTGTCTGACATGAGTAGAAACAAAACCATAATGACAAACCTAATTTAGTTCTAAAGAGAGATTAATGAAAAATTGATTAAAAAATAAAGACACTTGAACTGAATTGCCCATCTCTTATCAACATTATCACATTTCTGGAGTCTAAAGAACAACATATATAGCAGACGAAAAAAGAAAATGGCAGTAATCGTATATTGAATTATAATATTTTGTGTTCTATGGTTTCAGTTGCTGAAACTTTTAAATGAACAGATTTCATTTATAAACCCATTTTAATCTGTGGAACTCATCCCCAATTTATTGTCAGCTAATATCTTCTTGACAAATTAGAAATTTAAAAAAATTGTCATTTCTTTCTTATTTTTTGTGTTTGATTAGACTCTTAATTTGATTGGGATAAGGATGTTATATCCCACACTTCAATTGTGTGTAATGTCTGATTTGATAATGAAAGTGAACTGAATTTGATCAGGTCAGATGTTGCTTACTGTGCCCTTTGATTGGCAATTGTCCCAGAGATATGTTTGCTAGCAATTAAATTTGATTAGGAAATATATTAAGAGAGTGATACAGGACCACCTTCCTTTGAAAAGAACCCAGAAACCACACTGGATATTAATCTTTGATTGTGATTCATAGAGATTTTTTAAAAACAAAATAGACGAAGCTTTCAGAAAAAATGTTGTTTCTTTAGTCAGTGATTATCTGTACAAAATTAATTGAGGTTAATTGAAGTGAAAAACCTCTCTTTAGTTCATTTATTTGTCAAAAGTGTGGGAATTATAACCAAAAGAATGGGATTGTTAAGTATCCAGGATTCTGTTATCTAAGTAAGATAGTAGATTTGATGGCTTTATAAAACATGAGAAAAAAATGTACGTTGTTAGAGGAAAGCATCAATAGAAAGGTTTTTGCTTTCATTTTGGAGTCAAAATTAAGTAACTCTGCCTTTGCAAGCCATTTTGATTGCTTTTTAACAGGTAAAACTGGATTCCTAAGAATGTTTGTCACAGTTGAAAAAGACAAAGCAAAACAAAAATTACATTAGTGTTGAATGGTCCAATGTTGCAGTGAGATCAATCTGTATTTTTAGGTGTGGAATGCAGGATACCCAGCCACTCTAAAATATTCAGAAGATTTGACCAAGTTGACTTGGAAATACACACAGTTTTCAGAATTCAATGAAAACGACACACTTCTCCTTGTATCTGGCGTTCACTTTGGGTCCCACAGCACTTCTGGGGAAATTGCAGTTTTCAGCCTCCAGGGTGAGTTACACTATAACATATGGTAATTACTCCATCTTTTCAGTGGAGGGGGGGGGGGAGTAAATTTTACAGATACTTTATTTTTTAAGTCCCAATTTCTTAAAATAAGAACATTCCCATTGAGTGTAGCAACAATATTAAAAAAGCAGGCTACTCTATAGTTCTATTCTGTGCAATAAAAGCATCACAAATGTTACATAGAAATATGATTTTGCCATAATAAAATTATGTATCTAAAAGTTTGATAATTATTCACCATTGAAAAGATCGAGTCAGAACTGTACCTTTAGGGTGCATTCCCAGAGATTTAGATCGATCCAGAGATTTAGATTTAGATCGACCGAACTCCCTGGGGGTTCACTCTAAATTGCAGTCAGCCAAGCGCGCACCCCCTTACAGCTTTTAGTAGGCGGGACACACGCTTAAGCGGGTTAAGCTGACAGTAATCTAGTGAGACTCCCCAAAGGGATAGATCGATCTAAAATCTGTGGAAATGGGGTCTTAGTCTGTCTAAATTAAGATCTTGTAAATCAAATTTAATGAAAATAGAAAATGTCATCCTATTGAAGGGAAGTTAACCCCACCTACATGAATTACATCAACCACTCATTCTAGACCATGTAGCAAGGGAAATAGAAATAGGATTACTAAAAAAGGCTTTTTGCCTAAAATGTCAAAAAAAAAAAATGATTGTTTGTTATTTATACAGATATAATTATGTGCTTTTTTAAGGATCTCTAGAAAACAAACATTATGTATACATTTACTTTGAAACTTCCATGTCTCTTCCATCCTAATTTTTTAAAATCACTTCCATTATTTAGTATTACAACCTTGAGTAGTATGGTTGATATTGAATATTCAGGAAGATTAATTGACCAAGATGATACATATGTAATCAGTCAGCAGAAGTCATCATTTCTGAACAATTCTCCATCTATTTCATCTATGTGGTTACAAACTGAGGCTTGAATAGCAAGTCTGCCATGGAACTGGGACAGTGCACATCTTTCATTTCAAAAAAAAAAAAAAAACTTATAAAAAGATAGTGCACAGTACCTTTGCAAGTCTGATGAAGTGTTCAGTGAGAGGACCCTGACACAATTTGAAAGATGTTATTTCCTTTCACTAGGCACTATTTGAAGTCACTGAGGGACCTAGCACTATTTGTCTCATTATACCGAAGTAAGAACCAAAGTATAAAGAAAGACAACTTTCAGTTTTGGAAGAACTGCATATCTATCTCCCTGATGTCTTTACAACAAATATTTATCTTTGATGCCCCTAGGCCATTTATTGTAATGTGCACAGTTGAAACTGTGCATAACATTTAGTGACCATTTTTGGAACAAAGAGAATTTTTTACTTTTTTGTCTTTTTTTTATCTATTCTAAAGTCCTGACATAATACATGTATACAATATATTCACATATGCTGCAGCATTGGCTATTGTTTTATAGGTCAGGTTACAATGCTTTTGGTTAATTAGGTTGGTAAATGTGCCTTTTTTTTTCCAACCAAAAACCAAATCCCCAGCTTGCTTATGTTTTTCTGTCTAATTGGAAAGAAGACTTTTAAGCAGGAAATTAATGGGAGCTTTCAGGCAATTTTGGGATTCTTAAGTTCTTAAGGGAATACCTTATAGTGCTGTATTTATGGTGACATTTTGCTTCAGTACTATGCTAAAACACAAAGTTGCAGTAACCTTGACTAGAAATCCCAAAAAATGAGGTAGAAATATAGAGGTTTGGCAGCAGCACTTTTCATGTCTTTGGTCACGCTTGTTATTATTCTGTTCAATACTGCAAACAATTGTCTTATTTAAAAAAATTTTCTTATTAAAAAAAAAGGCCAACATGTGTCCAAGGCATTTCCCTTTGCATTCTGAACAGTACTATGTTAAAACACAAAGTTGCAGTAACCTTGACTAGAAATCCCAAAAAATGAGGTAGAAATATAGAGGTTTGGCAGCAGCACTTTTCATGTCTTTGGTCACGCTTGTTATTATTCTGTTCAATACTGCAAACAATTGTCTTATTTAAAAAAATTTTCTTATTAAAAAAAAATGGCCAACATGTGTCCAAGGCATTTCCCTTTGCATTCTGAACAGCACCCTAACAGATCAGCGGATCAAACATGGCCGACCCACTTGCATAATCCCTACGGGGAATCTGTTTAGCATTCAATGGGTAATATATTAAGCAGCAAGCTTTTTAGTGGGTCGCCCTATTTGACATGCGGATCTGTTAGTCGTCTCTTCTGAATGTGCTCTGAATATTGAAATAACTTTGGATTGAACACCTAGGATGCAAGATAATGAGGATAAGACCGCAGTATAGTGCCTTTGAACCATGATACCTTCAGATAAACATTCTCATATTGTATTGTCTAGACAGTGTTTTCAGGCCAACGAAGATTGCACAGTTAATCCATGCATAGTTATCATATATTACCAAACCAGCTCCATATAATGTGTTGTTATATCATTTCACCATATTTAAATAGGAGTACTAGTAATCATTCCATTTCAGACTTAATATATCTCTAAGAAACCAGTCTCAAATTTCATTATCATTAACAATACACTAATGATACCAAAATATATAACCTAGATCTACATATTCATGACATACATGTGGGTTAAAAATTACCAAACCACCTCCATATTTGTCTACATAAAGAATGGGTCTTTGACGTTATATCATCAGGCCTTATTAAGAAAATAAATTAAAATAATCCGTCAGTTTTGGACCAAAATACCTCTTAGTGAATAACCTCATAAATGTATGTCCTTATCAGCAATAACACCTTAATGTTTCCCTAACATATTATACACGAATGTTAGTTTTAAACTAACATATCATTATACTACCTGCATCGATTCCCCCCCCCCCCCCCCCCCTCCACATCAACAGGTCTACAAATCTGCTAGTATGTATGTCCTCCATAAAATAACTCTGATATCCTCACTCTTACACGTTACTCCTTTTATCATTGGAGGAGTGATTTATCCATTTTTTTATTCATTTATTTAGTCAACTTTACTTCATGAAGGTGAAAACATTGTAAGTAAAAAATTGATCTTTCCCATGGCCCTCCAGTAATGATGATATGAGTGGAGTAACGTTACAGTGACGTACAGGAAGTAGCAGGATTAATGAGATTGTGCTACTGAGCCTCAGAAATAATGATATAGAGAACTCTTATATTTACCTGTATGGCAATGTCGCTGTTGGAATATCTTGATTCATTTAGTTAGTTTTTAGTTAAGCTCAAGTTTGAAAACTAGTGTTCTGATCAGGTTGTTTTATTTTATTTAAAAAGTTTTATTGTTTAAAGTTTTTAAATAATAGTGTAAATCAGTGTTACAGCATACTTCTGTCTTGGAATATTCTACTTTTGGGATTATTTTCTAGTGCTTAGATTGAAGTAGGTTCTTACTTGATGCAAGCTGTACAGTTTCAGTGGACGATAGAGGGCTTTTTCTGTGCTACTTTGAAAAAATGTAACAAAGATAGTGCAAAACCATATAGAAAAGCTGTGATCAGTGTTACTGATCTAAAAAAAAAACAGTAAAAAAGAAGCATTTTGGTGAAATATTCTCCCCTGTTTGCCTGTGAAGTTCAAGTTGCTATATGTGCATTATGGGATTGCAAATGATGCAGTTAGCAGGATGTGTTTAATTAGCATGTAGTGAAGTATTTTACCCCCTGTGCATAATCATAAAGCTTTATATAATAGAGCAATAACCGTTAACTTTTATTCCATGACCAGTGGCATAAATTTTGGAAGGTTCCAGTTGTATTTTTAAAGAAAGCTCTAAGCAGTTTGCTCAAAGATAAATGTCATGTAAAAATTAGTCAATAAAGATTTTATTATTTCTGTGAGGAAGTATCATGTAATTGCATGTAGCTAATTTTCTGTTGCGGGTATTTTATAATAATCCCATTGTGATTTACATCAGTTCATAAGATGAACGAACAGGTAATTGGTCACAGGTAAATTGGGGGAGTGGGGGGGGGAAGACACCAAGTCTTTATAACCTAAATCTGTCAATGTGTAGGTATATGAAATTGTTATTTATGTGGTAATAAAGCAAGTTTTAATGTTATGGGTCTTATACTCTCTGTGCCAAAAGAAGTGCTTCATTTAATAGATTAAATTAAAATTCAAGGTTATTGGTTTTTTGTATGTAATTAATTAAATTGTTTAATGCATTGGTCATTGTTTCAGTATTATTTCTCTTTTGATAGTTTTTGAAGTATAGTTTTTTATTCTTTTGAAAGACCAGTCTGTAAGCTTTAAACAACATCTAAATTAGTAGCTTTAAATTGATCAAATGTATTTTTTAAAGTCCTGTTCATATCAGATTTGTATAATAGCTATGATTGATTTTCAGATGAGTTTCAGCTTCAGTGCCGGGTAATCAACAAGCCCTATGACATATTTGGTTGCTGGTATGATGAGAATTACTTGCTGGCTGGGAATCTTTATTGGCTTGGAAACCTGTCCTCGTGTTCCACCATTTCAATTAATAAAGTAAGTGAGCTTGGAAAATTGGAGCTTGGAGCTTGCAGAATTAAAGAAGCTTAAGAACATGCATGTCAACGCAATGTGTTTTTGTAGTTTGAATTGTCAAATGATGACAAAGTACAAGTTTGAAGATTTTTTAATGTGTGCTTCATTGATTTTGAATTTAATGCAGCTATTAATGTATACTGTACATTTTTATAGGGTGATAAAATAATCAATAAATTGGTCTAAAAGTAAGTCTATCTATTTAACCAGTTTCAACACTATTTTACATAATTCTTATTTGATATCACTTCATAATCAGATTAATGAATTTGATCCCAAACTGGCATTTATATAAATATGTGCTGTCTGTACTTTTTGATCACACTAATTGCTCAATGAATGCAAAACCTGTACATTTCTCCTTTTCCAGGCCTTCCAAGCCACGGAATCAGAGAGGGAATCTGTAATGATGACACTGTTTAGATTCCTGAACATCAACGCCAGTTCCATACGTACCATCCTTGTGGCCACATGCCCCAACGATTCCAAGTCCAACTCTGACCTGGGTCCTGATGACAGTTTGGCCAGAGGAGGCTCGTTAAAGAGGTCCGTGAGCCAAAACTCCGTTGAACAGAATGTTTGGAAGTCACAAAGAATACAGATCTATGAAGATGAACAGGGTATTCAGCTCCTTGAGGTTGACCAGTTTAATGCTGACAGAGGTCGAGGGGCATCAATTTTGTACAATGAAGATTATCGTAGTGCTGAGTCTGCCAGGCTGTCTGACAGGGAAGACGATGGGGAGGGGGTGGCTAGAGCCACCAGAGAGAACCAGAAGAAAAAAGAGGAAAAGAAAGCTCGAAAAGAAGATCAGATAGTTTGGAGGATCGAAGAACAAAACGATCATGTTTGCCAGACATCTGACAAGGCCTGTTCAGACGGGTCAATGATAGGAGAGAGGCAATATGCCGAGGGTGCCCTCTGCAGACCTATTGCTGGTCTAAAAGTCTCAAACATGAATTCAAATGCCTGCGCAGCTGGATCAAGCAGAGCTGGCAGTGCCCCCAGTGCAAACACAAAGACACAGATAGACAGACAGAACTCATTGGGTTCAACCAGCAAAGCGTGCACAAGCGCAAATTTACGGGCAGGGTCAGCTGGACCGAAAATAAGAGGTGGATCTGGTAAGCTGACCAGTGCGAGCATGGCAGAGGCAGGTCCAGCTGTGACGCATATATCAAAAAGCACAGACTCTTTCTCTCCTTGCATGTATGCTCCCAGCACTAGTAATTCTTATATCAGTCACAGTCCTTCCCCTTCCCCAGGAGCCAGTAGCAGCAGCGGCACAGCCAGTGCCCCCGAGACACCCACAGAAGCCAAGATGAAGTATCTGATCTTCACAACTGGCAACAGCACCTATACTCCCCATTTGATAGGGATTAAGAAGATCGACCCCGAGCGTACCAAGATGCAGGACACCCACACCCTTATTCAGCCTGGTTCAATGATGGACCAGCCTCCTGATGGTCAAGATGGTGTGAATTATGATGGGATTGACCACTTGATTGACCTTGGAGGTCATATCATTGGCATGTGCCTGTCTCCTGATCACAGGTAAGTGATATGACAGCTTTGGTGACGTGATGTGTCATGTGACAGACCTGGTGTCACATGACCTGTCATGTGGACAGTTGTACGGCACATTAACTGGTACATGATTGTGTTTTATGATGAAATTTTTATTATATCAAGTAATGATTCCTTAGAAAAAAAATTTATTCTATATTTTATACATGTTAAGGTGATATAATAACACTCAAATGTTTGATATATATATATATATATATATATATATATATATATATATATATATATATATATATATATATATTTATTTATTTATTTATTTTTTTCAAGTTGTATGTGTAGGTGTATATGATAATATTTCGTTACCATCAACCCACTCTGATGACAGTTTACAAATTCTGTTTCAGATATCTCTATGTGAACAGTCGACCCTGGCCTAAGAACTACCACATAGAAAACCCCCTGTACCCACCTCCCATTGCCCAGGAGATAGACATCCATGTAATAGACCTGCAAACTATGAAGGAAGTGGGGACGATGTTGAGAGCTCACAAGGCTTATACCCCAAATGATGAGTGCTTCTTCATTTTCTTGGATGTGTGTGATGAGTATGTCGCAAGGTAAGAAAGAAGAAAAAAATTGGTGCAAGTTATGCTTTTGCAGAGAGATGTTAGTGTTTTGACTTTTAGTAGTATGACAGCATCCAGGTTTAAGTTGTCAGTTAAAGAAATAATAACTCTTCCTTTGAGATTCAAAAATCCGCATGAAATACATTGTAAAAAACGCATGGAAATATATTCTATTGTATTTTACCACTAAAACGGCCGTTATTGTAGGAAAACTAAAATCTGTGCTTGTCAATAGGGCTTACGATGCCTTTTTTCCGGTCGACAAGTGCATTCGTTGCTAATGACGTAATGGTGTCACGCGGATTCTCGCGTTCATTCGAGACCAAAATAACATGGCGCCAAACGCATTAGTGCAGACGCAGACGTAAGTTGCGAGTTTTTGTACAGTGCGTCGGATAACGAAAAGCCCAGAATGGCACACATTGTGGATATAAATGCATTTTTAACAAAAAGACGAATATATCTCATGAATCTTATATAGTGTTGTTGTTGTCTGCTTTTCCCGCGGTTTTAAGTAGGTCACCAGTGACTTTGCAATGTCAGAGAGAGCTCCGTCAGTTAAAATCTCTTAAGAGATTTTAACAAAAAACCGTACGTTTAGGAAAAAAACCCTGGATTAACTTTGAATGCAGGAATGGGGTCGTTGTCCATTGGTAAGTACGGGAAAATTGCCGTTTTTTCCAGGAAAATCCAATTTTTGGCCAAAACGAAGAGTTATTATGACTTTAAAGAATTAAGTCCACAGCAGTAGGCTATTTCTGTTAACATTTTTTCTTAAATTTGACTAAAAACTGAGAACTTAAAATTAACCTCTACACCAGCTGTACAGTATTTATTATAAATAATGTGCAACTTCTTGAAGCCGTTTCACATTAAAACTACTTTGTAAATGGGCTGAATGGTTTTTCATTTACATTTGTACAGTAATGTAAGCAATGTTTAATGATATGAAATATTAACTTTAGATACACACTTTGAATTTAGAATTTATACAATTGGTATGATTTTACTATTCCAGTGGTGCTGAAGACAAACATGGCTACCTATGGGATAGGCATTATGGGATATGCTTGATGAAGTACCCACATACTGATGTAGTAAATTCTGTTGCCTTTAATCCTAAGGATCCCGAGATGTTGGTCACCGTCAGTGATGATAACTCCATCAAAATATGGCGGTCAAGAAACCGACAGCGCCAGCTGACAGGCCACGACATTGCTGGTGCTAGTGCTAGCAATGGGTAGACTGCAAAATACGTGGGAAAATGACAGAAAGATTTTTGAGAGTTGGTTCTGAATATGATAAGTCCTGACAAAGTTGTACATGGACAAAGGGCATGCACTGCCACAAAGGAAAAGATTCAGCCATTCTCTGCAGTCCTAATTAAATATTGGTTGTGCTGACAATATTATGTGAGATAAAATACTCTGAGCTAATCAGAATTTTTTCCAAAATAGTAGGTACTAGTAGGCTTCTTTTAATTGGGTAAGGTAATGTTAACCACAGTTGTACAATTAAAACTCTTGTACAGAATATTGGTATTGATTTTGTTTGTGAATTGTGGACAAGGTGTCTTCACATGTAGATAAGTTTTAAAGCTATGTAAGTATTGGAAAGTCATCAGAAAAACATAAAGAAGCCTTGGACTGATACTATAGGCAAATAACTGTTCTGGATGCCATACTGTTCCAGTCTTATCAAAGTTGTTGTTACACAATAGGTTGCTTGTTAGCATAGTATTCAGTTGTTTTAACACTGTGTGGCAAAGAAATGTGCCACATTCTTGATATTATTTGTACAGGCTGTGAAGTTAGTTTACCATGCTGTAAAAGAACTAGAGAGATACTGAGGGATAGCTGGAACAAGTGGACAGTTCATATTTGTTGTTAATTTTATTATTGTTGTTGAACTAATAATATTTATCTTAAAGTTTAATGATTTACATAGCGTCCATACCCTTGGGGATTACTTACAGAGCACTGTGTTTAATCAAAAGAACAAGTCAATTAAACAGCATTAAATTTTCATTAGTGCTTTTAAAGTGATGAGTGGAAATGTAAGTAGAGTGAATACTTTAATTAATTAATTTATTTAACATATTATTTAGTAAATATTTATATTGTTTATCATAAGAAACTCGACATGTGACCTTGGCCCCAATGTATGGTTACATATCACCAAGCACAATTTATTTTTACACACGCATGCACGCAAGCACGCACACACACACACAGGAATGCACGCACACACAAGAAATGACATAGAGATGACACGGCCGGTCTCTACTTGGGCTGAACTGAATAACGTGAATAAGTTGTCAGAGGTCCATGCTTCTCTTAAGGGTTGACAAACAGACGATGTTTTGTCTTTGATTTCAGTTTGTTATCATATCATGAATATAGAAATGTTAACATCATGTTTGATGTTTGCATGCAGATCCAGTTCTTGTTATTGTGATTTGTGTCTTATTTTCACTTAAAAAAAGTATAGTTTACATATCAGTGAATCACAAGCTATGAATAATTTATTAAATTGAATTTTCTTTTGTGAGACCAAATATGCAGATTTATTGCTTTTTTATATAAAATTAATGATGGTGCAGAAGAGAGACACTTACCAAATGCAAATGTTTGTAATTTTGTAAGAGCAAACGTTTTAAAAAATTGAATAAATGTCCAATCATTAGAGTCTTTCTATTCATGTGCAATTATACATTTAGTGTATATCTTATGTGTTGGGCAAAGTAAGATTTGTGCCTTTAATCTCATAATTTTATGTTTATATCCAAAATGCTTGGTAAGTCAGTAGATGTTCACGAAAAGCAAAGGTAATAACTTAAAAATCGTAATGAAAGTGGGTAAAAAGCATTTTAACAAAGAAATGGGGCTTACCTCCAATATGACATAAGATTTGTGTAAAAGTGTGAGACCTTAGCATCAAGTTTGCCCACAATTGATTGATACTTGCAATTGTAACTTTCTTGACGTTTCAAAATTGTAAACATGATCCAAAATACTAAGCATTTAGTAACTGTGAACAGCCAATTGACTCTTTTTCCCCCTGCTTTATTAGGCTTAGTTAAAATGCTCTAAACATTTCACTTAACATTGCTCTACATTTGTTAACGGCAAATGTTGACTGAGTTTTTAGCCCCCTGTTGAGTGATGTACAGCAGTATCCAGAGTGGGTCAACTCAACAGTTGTTGTTGTTGAGAGATGATGAGAGCTTTTAACCACCCCTGGATCTTCAAAGTGTTCGGAAGTTGAATTTCCACCGCACAACAAATGTTGATCGAGTGAAATTGTTGAATGCATTTTAGCAGCCTTACTCAAAATCACTGAACATTACTCTACAAATGTTGATCGAGCGATGTTCAGTGCAATGTTGAGAGAATTTTAACTAGGCTTAAGAGGATAGTTAATTTTGTTTACTGCATGTTCATAGATATAAACTTGGCTAGATTCACACATATTATGGAATTTCATGTTGTCTTTGTTTATTGCAAAAATAAAGGTAATTGTTGTAACAACACCTTTATACATATGGATGGTAGTTTGTATTACTTTAATAGACCTTGTGGGCAGGCTATATATCCAGTGAGGTAGACTGACAATTAAACACAAACACATTAAGAAAGGCAAACACTGTACCAAAGAACTAATTTAATTTCCTTTATCATGAAGGTATTTCCTTTCTATAACTTATATTGAATAATAATTATTTTTTGAGTTCTAAAATCCTTATTTTAACAGTCATTCACCTGTCTCCATCTAAACTGCTAGTTTACCCAAAAACTAGAAACTTTAAAATAAAAAATGGCATTTATTAGGAATTATTATTGTAATTCAGATCTAAGAAAAGTGTTTGATATGATGTACACTGGTGAGGAAGGGGAATTTGTTAAAATCAGGGGCGGATTTAGGCCGTCTTCTGGAAGACGGTCAGATTTTTAAGTTAACATTGACAGGTATCTAATTTTTTCTGTCGGAAGACGGTCAAATATTGGAGGAGGGATCAATAAAGATAATTTGGAAGACTCAGAAAATATCTCTGGATCCGCCCCTGAAAATATCAAGGAAAATTTATTTTTGCTAAGGGCTCATTCTCAATGTAACTACTGTTCAACATGGATCGATTCAATACCCTGGGGAGTCTTGCTGAATGCTATCAGATTAAGAGATTAGCACGTCTCTTGTTGCTTCATACATATCTGCATAATCGCCAGCTTTTCTGCATTTGACTCAATGTCAGGTTTGTTAATCAGATTGCATTCAGCAAGAGTCCCTATGGATCTGAATCAACCTATATAGAACAGTAGTTCCATTTGGAATGACCCATTATATTGAATGTTCGTCTTTGAAAATGGAGAAAATATGTGGAAATTATGCACCTATCTGAAATAAGTGCTTGTTTTTGTTACTCGTTTGGTATCTTTTAGTTACTTTGAATTTAAAATTTGATACTGAATAAAATTTACATATGATTGTAATTTTAGAGTGCATAAGAGATTTAAGCTAACTTAAGGCATTCAGTGAGAAAAAATGAATAATTAAATAAAATAAATAATAGTAATAAATTCTTGAATGTTCAGCCATCTTTCCTTAATTAAAGATTACCCTACGATATATAAAACTGTAGTTGAATTTCTAATTTTAGCATTATACTAATTAAGGCAGACCTTTGTGATTGGGGGAATAATTTAAGAATAAATTAATATTTCTGCTGAAGTCTAACACTTGAGGTATGCCTCAAGTGCTGGTTATATTTAAAATTGAAACAATTTTTAATATTTAATTGATTTTCTCTCGCTGACTGAATATAAAGTGCCAACTCAAATTTAATTTCTTCCAAATTTACATTTATATCACATTTTATTCTAATGTTTTCTCAATGTGTGCAGGTGAAATCAGATTGTCTTATTTCAACCTCATTCGTGATGAAAGGTTAAATTAATATTGGTTTAAAATATATCCTTTAATTAACTTATCCCAAATTTAACATACTTAGAAAAAATCTGATGTTAAATTAAGTTCATTTAATTGATTGGATAATTTGTTTGAGAACTTAAATGTTCTTTTCTTTTCATAAATAAACTGGAGAGGTTGGAGTATCCATCAGAATGTTAAAATGTTTCAAGTGAGTAAAACTTTACTTCTGTGGGGAAAAAATACAAAATCCTACAAAAACATTAAAGTTATTTTTTCATCAAGTGGAATTGAGTTTCCACTTGTCATTTTATAAATGTTTTTTACAGATTAGAGATTTGGAGAAAAAAGTGAAAAAAGATGCTTTAACAAATTCAGTGGGTTTAAAAATACTAATAGTTTCATGAAAGCATGCAAGACCAAATGGCCTTGTGATAGTCCTGCAGGAGGCAGGTTTTACCAGTCCTCCAAAAAATGGTACCCGTCTCCACCCCTGGCAAATGGCACTTATGGGTTGAAGCAGGGGTAAATTGTACCAGGGTGGCCAGTAAAAATATTGTTCACATGCTGGTTTCAGCACCTCATATGTCTGGAGTCCTTATGGCTAAAGTATCAGGAAGTTATCACTTATGAGATATTATGAACAGTGAAATTAAATGTAATTGTCTGTGTTAATTGCTATTGCAAATAAATTGTATTATTTAGTATGAAGTCAATGGAGTCTGGGTACCAGGTGAGCAGCCCAACTCTGTTCAAAATTTGACCAATAAAGGAAAACACACCACCAGTCTTGAACATTTATTTTATTGATTATAAAATTGCAAGGAATGTTGGACATACAGGTTTTTGCTTGAGATGCAAGATAGTGTCCCACTTCAGAATAATACTCCACAACTTCAAACTATCACATAACCCACTTCAAACTAATATTTTTAAGTAATGCAAATTACAATTATACATGAAATACTCAATTCTGTTAACTTTCTGGGATATATTTGAGAAAGTTAATGCAACTGGCAATATTTTTTTCTTAGGTACAGGGAAAATTAAAATAACATTCTCATAGACTAGATTGTACTTTTAAGTACCAGTGGGATTTCTTAAAATTAAGGCAGGGTTTTAACAGTATGAGCTGTCTAAAACGCTGCTGTTGGATTTACTCTTCAATTATCATAAGGACTAGAACTTTCATAAATACTGTCCACTTCCCCCATGCTAATAATCCAGAGATAAACAATTTAAACTTCTTAATTAACTACATAATAAAGTAGTTCTTAAAAAATCAATCAATTAATACTATCTGTGTCTGACAGTTTCCTGTTGAATAATTTGTTCCCTGCCAAATACAAAAATGCTAATACGATAACAACTCTTCAAAATTCCACAATATATATATGGAAAACAGCACATCAAATTTTCATAAATTCTATTTTACCACCAAAACAGCAATGATCACAATTATTCTGAAATCTTGCCATCAGACCTTCATAGGTCACTACCTTTAGTTTATAATCTCTTAAGCACTAAATGTGGCAAAACTTAAATTGCACGACACGGAGGGCCATTAAAACAAATATGTCCTATATGCCATATATCTCAACACACACACGGTAATAGCTCATAAATCTCTCTTTTTAAGCTGCTGAGGTGAACTTCTAGTATCATTATGGCATGTTTCTCAATTTGGCCTTGAAAGTTGTCTGATTTTGGACACTTAGCTAAAAGTAACCATATCCCTATTTTTGCAAGTTACAGAGATTTCCATTTCCTTCCCCTTAAAACTAACAACATGCAAATATACAACCTTACATCCAAAATGTTCATCATTACATTTGAAAGAGGGCACTGCTAAATATGGTACTTGTGAGCTTTCATATTGCTTGATAAATTTATTACAAGTGTGTGCATGCAAGCAGTGAATAAAACTCTGCAATGAAGTATGCCTCAACTTGCAACACAATATGTAATAATACAGGACTTCAGAGCACAGTATATGCTTCCAATACAAATGTGACCCTATACTAACAGTGCAGAATATTACACTAACATCTTGAATACAGTATATAAAACAATATACAGGAGGTCCATATACTAAGAATGTATATACAGAGTTTTGCCCCCCTCACCTTTTCCCAAAACAAATTAGTCAATCCAGATCTTCCTTACAAGCTGATGAACCAAAGTAGGAGTCAATGTTATAAAGTTTCAGTATATAACTGCATTTATTTAATGTGAGTGAGAAAAAGCTCACTCACAGGGAATCTAGTTTTAACATAAAAGTCCAACAATTAACAAGTAACACACATTCAACTCGAGACATATCAATTCTTTAAAAAGCATACGAAAACAGGAAATTCACAAAAGACAAAATGTGAAATTGCATGCCCTGCAAGAAATGCTCTGAATGAGAGCGTACTTAGTTCACAAAAAGATGAACGGTGTACACAGGTATTAGTAATAGTAACTTATAATTAATTGAATCTGCACCAATGTATTTCTAATACTCACACTGTTTTCAATATTTGACTAGAGGATGAGAGAGACGATACCCCTTCTGGGTATTGTACTGGTCACCAGATGGAGTTACCTCATTCGTATGGAAAACATACATGCATGTAAATGACATAAGTGTTAGAAGCAGTGATAAGAGTCTAAAACCATTCTAATGATAAAAGAGCACAAAATGTTTTTCTTTTGTCAATTTTGTTACAATGTTTCATAATGTAACACAAACACAAACAACAACAATAACAGATGCAGGTAATAACTGTATATCCAGACATATTGCATCTGTCCATAGAAATAAAACTGTCCACATCCAATTTTACGTCTCTGCTGCCAAGTCCCAAAACTCCCGCATCAGCGACATTTTGCCTCTAAATCCATGCGAAGCGATAACATGAGAATTGACTACATCGCTGGAGGTATAAAATTCCATCAAAAACCTCTTACCGCCATCTGAGATTGTAATTCCAAGTCTGTATGCTATCAACCCAAGGTACACATCGTCCATTCTAAAGAATTTCACATAATGCATTGCTACAGACATGTCCCTAATATTTTTCATAGAGAGAATGTATGCTCCGGCATATACATATGGAGGGATTCTACTGTATGGGTACTCTGCTAGTGGTACATACCTTTTGTGTTTTTTGTTCCTATTAACTCTGGTATTAGTAAATAATGAAAAGCCTATGTATAAATTCTGTGCACTTGTTGCAGGGAGAGAGGCAAGAAACTGTGCTGTGTTTCGTTTAGATATGTAAAAGTCCTCGTCCACGAAAAATGCAAAGTGAGCATTATGACAGTGAAGAGATGCATACGAAAAAGCCATCATTGTTTTATATGTATTGTTGAAATATCCATCCTCAAAATCACCTTGTATGAGGTCCTTGTACATCTGGTATTCCTCTCTGAGTAAATACTGACTGTCCAATGATGAGGAATGGCCAATGAGGAAAACTCTTTTTGTTACTAGTTGGTACTCTGTGCCGGAGTGATTCACGCTTATCGTCTTCTCATTACCCCAGCTTTTTCTTATGATATGTCTACTCTCAAAGCTCCAGCAGGCTGATTTAACCACAATCAATACAAAGATAGCTGAGTTTTTCACTATCACATCCTTGCACAGGTTTTCATTCTGCATACGTATTTTGAACGGAAATGGATTAATTTGCGCAATGTCAAGTTTCTCGTTATTCTGTATCTTTCTAACAGCCTCTGCAAGATTTATATTTAAAGGCCATGCAAAGTCAGAAAACGATGTCTCATACAGGACGTCTGATAACCCATAATAGTCCCATATGTACAAGAGAACAAGGATTCCACAGCAGAAAGCGAAGGCAATGAAAAAACATTTCTTCTTTCTGTGTCTCAGTAGCATCTTCAGAAGGGGACTCATTCCATATTTACCTGTAAAACCATAAAAGTAGCAAATTTTTACTCAAACTTCAATAATAAAACTTACACCTGGTCCAACAGTATAAAATTATTTTTGTAAAATTAAATGGAAAATGAAAAATACAGAGACATATCATTCTCAGTACTCAACTACATATAAACTTTACCATAAATATGAAGGTTTGTTTCACATAGCAGAAAACAGGCTCGTGCATAATTAATATCTAAATCTTAGTCATGTGTACAATACTTGTAGTGTGATATGCTAGTGTATGATCAGTGCTGTGGCACAGTGAGCAGTTGACTCAGCATTCAGACCGCACCTAGCTTATGATTACGAAATACTGGATATGTATGTATAATAATGGTACATTTCTATATATGTAATTTTGGTGCTTTTTATCTATGTATTTTATTATTACTATCATCATTATTATTGTTGCTATTATATCTCTGTACATTTTCACCAGCTCAGTCTGGTGCAGAAAGTATGAATAAAGCATAGTTCTATAAATGACTTACAAAGACAATTTGAAAGTAATCAATAAAAGAATTTGGGTGGTCATGTTGTACTTGGCAGCCGTATGGTGATTTTCAAACATGCCCCTATATCCAGTATTTTTTATTTATTTTTTTTTTAAATTTCATTCGCCACAACTGTACAAAATTTCATTCTTGTAGGTTAAAAGCATGATGCACGCCCCCCCCCTTTTTTTTCTGCACCAAATTGCTGGAGTAGACATGTAGTAAGTAGTGTCATGTAAGCTGTACCCACGTTAAGTATTTTCGAACCTTTGGGATTTTGAACCTCCTGAAGTACTGCTAAAAAAAACGTTTAAGAAAAAAAAAATTCCAAAATGATGGGACTTCCGGCGCGATGACAACAGCTGACTAGCTGTCGTCACGTTTTCCTGTTCAAACAATGAGTGTCAGGCTACAGACCAGACGCCATAACTGCATCTCCATTAGCAAGAAATCTTCACTTTCCCTTATTTTAGTCTCAACTTACACGAATTTTTACATCAACTTTCAGGTATTTAAATACAGCCTACCTCGAAGAGACATCGTGCTCGCTCGGCTGCCAACTTGACTGGTTAGAAAATGCTTGTCGTTAAATCGCCATATGATTTAAAAACCAGGCAATAAACCTAAAAGCCACATAAACCGATCTTAATGCCATACTTGTCTACCATAAAGATAAAAAAAAATCTTATCAAAATCAGTTTAAATCGGTCATATAGCGATTTTACGACAATTTGGTACTTTACAAGGCCAATTGCATAACACAGCTGGTAAAATTCCTCCCTGACTATTGTCAATAAGGACCGAATTGCTGAACTCGGACGTCCATTCACTAGCATTGCACAGAAATGAATCTGTTGTGGTCCCATCAATCACATAACACCGCACCGAATTTGGAGATGTACTTTATTACTTCACTCTACGCTGACCGGCTTTATATAATACTGGATCGTGCTCGGAGACATGCCTAGTAAGGCCACAAGACATTGAGATGTGCCACCTCAGGTAATTGTGCCATATCAGGCCAGAAAATTTAACTTCAATACCAAAACATTCTGGCGCGCGCATTATACTGAAATATGTATCTATTATATCGTTTTCTAATTGACGTCCTTTTGTTAATTTGGTAAAATTAGATATAAGAAGAATGAATTTTGATAAAAGGTTTAAGAAATGTCATTAGTTACGACCGTAAAAAATTTATAGACCTACCCGATTTCCCAAGATGAGAAGGGGATCCTTTAATTTTCACTCAGCTGGTTCGTAGCCGATTAGGCCATTGGTGCACCCAAGTATTACCAGCATGTCTCCAGCCATCCAGGTTCTTCGCCTTTTTACTTAACTCAGCCCCACTTTCTCCACTCCATTCTTTCAAATTTAACATCCAGTTTGTTCGGGGTCTCCCTCTTGCTGGCTGTCCTTGCATTCCACCTTCCATCACTGCACTCACCATTCCTCTTTCTCGTACTGTATGCCCAAAAAAACTTGAACTTACTCTTCTTCACAATCTTAACAAATCCTTCCATCTTGTGCCCATATGCCCACAAATTCTGGAACCCAGCCCTGCCTTAACCCATTCATTGTTCATCGTTGTTCATTTTTTATATTCATGCGTAGAGCAGAGTTGCAACTACCAAAGATCTCATCAACAACATGCAGTTTGTTGTCCATCTTTATGTTCTTTGCACCCCAGGTGCTGTCCACACTAGTGGCCCTTCCAATCCTTACTCGCATTCCACCTCTGATTTACAGTTATAATACTAGTATCTTCGGTCCTAGGTAAGCGAAGTTCTTGCTTTAATCTTACGCCTTTGATCATCACGTCCACCACGTCGTGCCCCATATCTTAACTCTTACCAACAGTCATTGCTTCGCTATTTTCTGCATATGTTTCCATATCCCATATTACCTCCTAGATGATTCTTCCAGTCTTCTTATAATGTCCTGTAATCCTTCTTCGCTTTCTTTCAAAATATCAATGTCATCAGCAAATCGTAGGTCTTTTATTCTTCTTCCTGCACATCTCACTTCTCCTTGGTATTCATGTAGAGCATCCTCCATAATCATCTACAAAAACAGGTTGAATAAAGCTGGAGAGAGTAGACATCCTTGTCTTGTCTTTCACCAATCATTCACTGAATCGATCATCAACCATCACTTTAGACCTTGCTCCATCATGCAGATTTTAATTCGTGAGCTAATTCTTTTACCAATGATTTTAGTTCTTTTAATCTTAAAAGATTTCACTGCCAAACTTGTGTAAACCGTACCTGTGCTGTGGCCTTAGCTCCAACTTGGGTTAACTCCGCGAAGATGCAATCTGCAACAGGTGAGTTGTTCTGTTTCAGTTCTTTGATGGCATCCTTCTGTATCTCATAGTTGTACTTCTTCACAACAGCTTCTCCATATCTCTAAGATAACTTCAGTTCTCGTCAGCAACCTCCCATCTGCATCTTCAGTTACACTTGCTTGCTTCCGCTTGGTTTCATTCCTACCATTTAGCTACTTTACAGCCTCATAACTAGGCCTTCCACGTGTTATGTTTGTTAAGTTTATCTTCAATTTCTTTCGTTTGGTTTTCAATCCACTTGTTTTTGGCCTAAGTAAGTGCTTTTCTTGCTCTTGTATTTGATGTTCTGTGCTCTGCCACCTCATTATCACCTATTTTCTTCTTCCTCTTCTTTTCCCTTCTCTCCTCACACGTCTTAATTAATTAATTATTTAATTAACTAAGTACCTCAGGTGTAATCTATGACTTCTTGACCTTCTTTGACTTTCCGACCTTCTCTTCTGCAACTTTTCCCAACGTGTTAGTAAACTCGTCACATAGTTCTTGAGAAATGAAATCTAAACGTAGGAGTGGTACAAATTTACCAGCTAGTTCTTCTTGGAATGCTGCTGCTATTTCCGGATCTTTCAGTTTCTCAAGATCAAAATATGTTTTGGTCTTTCCCATCTAATTTGCTTTCAGCTTCACTTTTAAAGTCATCATTACCAAATCATGGTCGCTTCCAATATCTGGTTTGTTGAATGTGCTTCTTCTTGCTTTGTTGACTCCTGTTTTATATATATATATATATATATATATATATATATATATATATATATATATATATATATATATATATATATATATTCTTGACATGAAGATATAGTCGATTTGATTGTGAACTTAACTGCTTGGTTTGGTGCCAAGGTTTCTTAAACGCAGCGATTGGCACGTTCTGTCTTTCCTTCACTTCAGGTGAATAACTCAATAACTGATGGTGCGTCTGTATTCCACGCCGACAACCTGTAGAAAATGTTTAAAAGCCTAAGAACAGAACACTATTCCTCTATCCATTATGATAATTTCTGGAAACAAGAATCGAGGGAAGAATTCTCTAACCAATGCCGATTCAACGGCCTGAGATGTTTGATTCGGAATAGGATAGCTTTCTACCCACCCTGATAAGTGGTCAATCAGATTGAGACATTGTCTAGTAATAGTACGTATTTATTGCCATTCGGTGATTCCACGAATGGACCTATGAGGTCGATACCTACTATCTGGTTAATAGCTGTGGGTAGGGGCGTTTCTCCATATCCCATTCGTTGTAGTAGGCATAGGAATAGGCTATGCACCTTGCACGTGGCACAGCGGTCCAATTGCTTATTGACCTCGGCAGACATAACTCTGTTGTATTTTGTCTAGAGTCTTGCCTGTTGCGCAGTGCCCCGGCTTCCTCGTGGCACCTTTTTATCACGCCTTCACGATAAAGCGACGGGAGCAGTAAGCGTGGGTAAATAGGACTGGTACTTGTCTATCTAGACATTTATACTTAATGAAAGCCCCATTCAGAATGGATGATCAGAGTACTTATGGATCTGCCAACTAAATATGGCCGACCACAGTTCAAAAGCGGCGCCGCTGATTCCTGATTCCTGATGGCTAGGTCTAATTATCTAAAGCATTTCCTTTATTTCTAATTCCACCACTTTAGATAACGAGATCCGATAGGCACGCTGCTTTATTGGTTTTGTCGTCCCTGTGCCAATTTTCATCGCTGGGAGGTTGCATTTGCCGTGTGGATCTCCATCCACGCTGAAAACGTTCTCAAATCTGGTCAAGACTTCATCCACACATTTAACTCCAGTCAGGGAGCCTTCGGTGCAACTGTGGCGAGACTTTTAACAGGTCAACTGCCCCAAAATCGCATTAGGGGCCATTGACGTCCACACCAGTGAAGAATGTTATGACGATATTCTCCTGGGCGTAGTCAGGTCAACTCTGTCCGCAATCAAAACAGCCACCACCGCAGCCTTAATTATCAGTAAGCCTTATCAACCTTAACCTGCTTTTTCCCGATTATTGGCAAAACATGACCTGTCACTCCGTAAGTAACACTAGCGGGATGTACTAATCTTAACCTAATTTCTTTACAAATAGTCATGAATACCTTGTGCAAAAGGCCCCCGTATCTATCAGTCATGGCACTTCACACCTAATATCGTTATATCTACGGCTATTCGGGGGTCGGGTAGGTCTCTTGCACTAGCTAGTTTTCTGAGTCCATCTCACGCTTCTGCTGACCTTTCAGCTGCTAGCATTCTCTCTTTTTGTGGCCTGCCTTGCCACAGTGAAAGCATAAGGGGGGTCCATCTTCGGACCAGCCCCTGATATATCTCTGGCCATTTTATTTTCGCCGCTGGGGTTGCGAGCGGCATTGCGCGGTTTTCATTTAGACTGTATATTTCTTTGGTCAGTTTTAATCCCTGACTCGAGGCGCTCCATCGGGTTGTCGGCGGAGTTGACAGCCACCTCCATCGGCTCCTCACGGCGCGATTCTTCCCCGACGACATTTTCGAACAGCTGCGCGCCGACCTCTGAGTTGACCACGAACGCAAGTGTCTCGTTGAGGGTGTTGAGCCGTGCAACGGCTACGAGTCTGCGCGTGAACCTACGATACTTCAAACACCGTGCATAAGTAATGATCAGCTGCTGCTCGGCGTCGAAGGAGAGTGTCTCACTGTATGCCTTTCTCGCGAGGTTGCAAAATCGCCGGATGTAGGCGGTGCAATTTTCGCAAGAAGTTTGTTGTATTTGTTCAATCTCTGTCCGGAGACAGGCCACCTTATCAGGTGATAGGAAAGAGCGGCGGATGTGGTCGCGGGGTACAACCCATTCAGTCCCATAATAATCATTTTGCTGGTGAAGGCAATAACCCCTCTCTGCCGCTAGGGCACCTCGGCCGGTCTTGAGGACCAGTCTGGCAGCACAGCATGTTACAGTATCGCGGCCACGGGCGATGGCTCGTTCCATTTGGTCGATCCGCTGTCTAGTTTCTGATGGGACTGTTCCATGGCAAAGGTGAAACAGATCTGTCAAGTCCTGCAGAGAGTCCCTCTCTCTCTCCTCTGCCCGTCGGAGGCCTTGTCTCTTAGCCTCCACTTGACGATGCTCCGTCAGACCGCGGATATTTTCGAGCATCGTGTGGAACTGCTCCTGAGACATGTTTCTTTTGGTTGGTTGGTTGGTTGGTTTGTTGGTTTGTTGGTTGGTTTGTTGGTTGGTTGGTTGGTTTATTTATTTATTTATTTATTTATTTTTATTTTTATTTATTTTTTTTTTTTTTTTTATTTTTTTTTTTTTGGCCCAGGTCCCGACGAGCTAAGCCACTGTACAGTTCGTGCCTTTACTTTTTAATGTTCTTGGATAACGCTATATTAGTATATGGCTCAGCCGTGCGAGTGTTAGGGCACGGTCTTATCGGACCAAAAACAACAACGTCTCTGGTAAGATACTAGTGAACTACTCTGTCTAGTCACTGTCGCTTTTAATAACGTAGACGCGACCGCGGAATATTCCCCTTCACTGATTGAACGACTAATAATATATATCTGGCCATTTACTATCTGTGCAAATTTCCGTCCTGCAGGGTTTTTTTATTGCAAAACTTAAACGATAGCTGGCTTTTACAAACAGACATTAGCCGTTAATAGACTCTAAATAAATGTGTTTAGAAATAAGTCAGATTATTTGAACTGCTGAGGCGAAATCGACTCGACAGATTGCCGTGAAGACTTGTTCTGCAGAGCACAAAGTTATCACGTTTATTGTTATGTATAACAGCTATCTCGTGAAGTTAGAACTTATAATTAATTGAATCTGCACCAATATATTTCTAATACTCACACTGTTTTCAATATTTGACTATAGGATCAGAGAGGCGATACCCCCTCTGGGTATTACAATACGTACCACCAGATGGAGTTACCACATTCGTATGGAAAACATACACACGACAAAAGTGTTAGAAGCAGTGATATTAGAGTCTAAAAATGATGAACAACCAATCTAATGATAAAAGAGCACAAAGTGTTTTTCTTTTGTCAATTCTGATACAATGTTTCATAATGTAGGAAGTGCCACGCAACACAAACAACAACAATAACAGATGCAGGTAATAACAATATATCCAGACATCTTGCATCTGTCCATAAAAATAAAACATTGTCCACATCCAATTCTATGTCTCTGCTGCCAAGTCCCAAAACTACAGTCCGTCTCTATACAGTCATCAATACACGCTTATTCCCTAATAAACATGCGCTGTTGAGAACATACTGCAAATTCAAACATAATCTTAAGAAGCATTCATATCTTTTAGATGTTCACCTCTGCGATTTCCCTCAGGTGGCCATATCAACACACTAGCCTAGTAAAATCGATACTAAAATAGTAGCCAGCAGCTGAATAACGACGGTCCGTCCACGGTAGGTTCATCCATGCGTCGAACTGTAATTTGACGCTGATTCTCTATCAAAATTATCGACTAAAACATGAATTTTATCCCCATCATAGTAAATGTATAATGAGGTAGGAAATGAACTAGCCGAATATAACAGTACAGGTGAATAACAACGGATCATTCACGGAACGGCTTATACACGCGTCTGCTGCGTGTACAAGCGGTCAGGACGGATGGTTCACGCAGAACGGACCGTACACGTGACACCGGGTGCATAAATTTGAAAACCACCTAGAACAACCTAAGACTTCCACATTAATCTAATACAATGCAAAAAAGCCTATTCAAAAGTGGTTAAAGAGTGTCGTAAAGTCCCCACAGAGTCAATAAAATAGAGTAAGCTTGTGAAACAAGATTCCAGAAATTTAAAGATAACTAGAGGATCAGAGAGGCGATACCGCCTCTGGATATTGTACCACCAGCTGAAGTAAGCGCATTCGGATGGAAAACCAAAGAAAAAGGGACACCACTATCAGTCTTGTGCTTGACAAGCTCTATAAAATGCAATAAACAAGAGTTCTCAAAATATGCATAAATGCAAAAAGAACAACTGTAAAAATGGTCCAATCAAATGGTTTTTCCAATTGACCTGTATTTTCCTAACATTGATCACTCCTGTGATTTTCTAGACAATAGGCCTGTCGGTTTTCCTTGAAATGTGTTATCAGTGTTGCATATATGCTGACAAAAGAAAAAAAACCTAGGGGCAACACTGGGCATATCTCTGCTAGTTTTGAATATAAGAGGGGCAAGAAAATATGCAAAGTTCAGTTTAATAGTAACTATGGGTATTTCTTTGCCAGTTTTGGAGATATAAAGGCCAGAAAACATGCACAATAAAGTTCATCATAAAAAGTAGGTCAAAGGTCAATTCCAAGATCACAGTTACATTGCTAGTATATGACTTCCTATTTAAGTTCAGTAGTAACTATGGGCGTATCTCTGCCAGTTTTCGAGATATAAGGGAAAGAAAATTTCTAAAGTTCAGTTCATGGTTAAAAGTAGGTCAAAGGTCAATTTCAAGGTCACAGTAAGATTCCCAATATATGACTTCCTACTCAAGTTCAACAGTAGCTAAGGGCGTATCTCTACCAGTTTTAGAGATAGGCCTACTATATAAGGGCTGCAAAATTTGCAAAGTTCAGTTCATGGTGAAAGTCAAAGGTCAATTTCAGAATCACAGTAAGATTACCAGTATATGACTTCCTATTCAAGTTCAACAGTAACTATGGGTGTATCTTTGCCAGTTTTGGAGATATGCAAAGTGCAGTTCATCATGAAAAGTAGGTCAAAGGTCAATTTCAAGGCCACAGACAGATTACCAGTATATGACTTCCTATTCAAGTTCAATAGTAACTATGGGCATATCTCTGCTAATTTGGGAGTATTTCACATTTTATTTTCACCACTGAATATTGGATGTTGAACTTTTTGATATAGCACAACGCCTAAGCCGTATCGAAAACAAAAAATGGAAACCACTTTCAGTGTTGCACTTGTCAAGCTCTACAAAATGCAAAAAGCAAGAGGTCTCTAGCGTTAACGGTTCCAGAATTAGAGAGAGTTTTCAGTTTCAGCAACTTATGGCCGCTACTCAGGTGAAAATGCACTGATTGACCCCAAACGCACGAAGATGAAAGATAACCTTAAGGGTAACACCTGCCCATAATATTATTGGTAAAATCTGTGTAGTTTCTGAAAATTGGCAGGAATAATTTTTATTTTTCGCAAAACATTCACATTTTTAGAAAATTTTGGCCCGTTTGACCTTGAAACAAAGGTCAAAGGTCAAATCCAAGGGCATATTTGAAATCTCCACATATGACTTTCGGTCAGCCAACTGTAGAAATTTTTCCTATAATTCCTTCGGTTTAGGAGATATGTAGCATTGAATTTTCAAAAATTTTGACAAGGGTGCGTTTCAACAAGCGTCACGCCCAGGCCAATGCACCGAATGAGACAAAAAAAAACAAAAAAACAGGGGGTTCAAGCTGAGATTATATGTGACCTAAATCCAAGAGATGGGGACACAGGTCCTTGCGGTCTAGGAGGAGAGCGGTAACGGTGACTTGTATCCCACGTCATCCTGCGGAGCCGGCGGAGCTGTACGAGACGGGTCGGGACTAAAACCATGAGTACTGCCAGCGTACACGCTGGTGGTACTAATAATCGAATTAAAATAGTGCCAGGCATCGGAGCGACCTAAAACTTGGCTCGCTTACCGCAAATACTGCAGGCTACATCATCCCGTCGCTCGTTTGTAAATCCCGTGCATGCCACACGCACAATCAAATTCCCACCTTGAAGTTTAAGTCGGTCTCCTCTAACCTCGCATTACACCGGGCTTACGAAATAAAGAATGCAGAAGTTATCACCCTACATCCGGGCATGATCAAATACAAATACAATGGGCCAACAACATGGGCGAAGGCCTTCATCAGACTGATGTGAGTAGATGTTCACACTCACTGACCATTCGGTGGTATAGCGGCCAGGACCCTTTAATTAAACCACGGCAAGCGCGTAGAACAGGAGACTCGGCCGTTACAGATCTTTAATGTCAGCTAGGTAGATCGACCCCCGTCCCTATTTAAGGGTGGCTGGTGACGGCTGATGTTGACAGCCTCTGGTGTCTTACCTCGGCTTAATTGTGTTTGATTATTTGCATTTGTGACCCAACTACCAAGCTAATGCACATTTTTACTCATGATTCACCCCCTTCTTTTCTGCACCAAATTGCTGGAGTATTATGTAGTAAGTAGTGTCATGTAAGCTTTACCCATATAAAGTATTTTCGAACCTTTGGAGTTTTGAACCTCCTGAAGTACTGCTAAAAAAACCAGACAGAACGCTTAAGAAAACAAATTACACAATGATGGAACTTCCGGCGCGATGACCAGCTGTCGTCACGTTTTCGAACAATGCTCGAGCCTCAGGTAGCACGAAAATTCATGCGTGAGCACTCCTATTGACGATTCTGATATGTACTGTCTCTGCACAAACTGTAGGGGCCTACATATCAGAATCGCCAATAGGAGTGCTAACGCATGAATTTTCGTGCTCAGCCTCAGGCTGCCAAGACGACCCTAAAACTGCATTAGCAAGAAATCTTTACTTTCCCTTATTTTAGTCTCAACTTCACGAATTTCAACTTTCAGACACACAGCCTACCTCGAAGAGACATCGTGCTCGCTCGGCTGCCAACTTGACTGGTTAGAAAACGCTTGTCGTTAAATCGCGATATGATTTTAAAACCAGGCAATAACACCTAAAACCCGCATAAAACGATCTTAGAGTGCCTTACTAGTCTACCATAAAGATAAAAAAAATCTTATCAAAACCAGTTAAAATCGGTCATATAGCGATTTTACGACAATTTTACACAAGGCCAATTAATTCCATAACACAGCAAGTAAAATTCCTCTCCGCCTATCGTCGATAAGGACTGAATTGCTGACCTCGGACGTCCATTCACAAACATAGCACAGAAATGAATCTGTTTTACATGTCCCATCAATATTACAGCACGCCGAATTTGGAGATGTCAAACACAAAGACAGTGCACAAACATACTGACTGAAGATACAAATGCATGGCATAATTGTAAAGTAACATTTATCAAATTCGTGCATGCGCATTACACCTTTAAACATCTTCATTGTTGTTATGCCTCCTAAGGTGGAAGGGAAAGAGACCAAAAAACAGGTTCAGCCCTTGCCACGACCACTTCAAGTCCACCGAACAATTCCTGTGCGCGAAATCTGCAATGCCGCCTACGATACGGCCTTGTTGTAATGAAACTTTTCATACATATGGAATGAGTGTCCTAAACTTATATAATTTTGAACACTTAATTCAAGCGTGGGCTCGAAATAGGACATTACGTTTTACACCCCATTTCCATAGATTTTTAGATCGATCTATCCCTGTGGGGAGTCTCACTAGATTACACCCCATTTCCATAGATTTTTAGATCGATCTATCCCTGTGGGGAGTCTCACTAGATTACTGTCAGCTTGACCGGCTTAAGCGTCTATCCCGCCTACTAAAAGCTATAAGAGGGTAATTAACTATGGTGCCCGCTCGGCTGACTGCAATTTAGCGTGAACCCCCAGGGAGTTAGGTCGATCTAAAACTTAATCTTTAGATCGATCTAAATCTCTGGGAAAGCACCCTTATTGTCAGCTTGGCCGGCTTAAGCGTCTATCCCGCCTACTAAAAGCTGTAAGGGGGTAATTAACTATGGTGCCCGCTCGGCTGACTGCAATTTAGCGTGAAGCCCCAGGGAGTTAGGTCGATCTAAATCTTAATCTCTAGATCGATCTGAATCTCTGGGAAAGCACCCATAGACTTACTTAGTGGATAACGCAATCCAAAGATTCCACGGTTCGTGTCAGATTTACGTATGGTCGCGCGAAGAAAACCCATGACCAGTTAAACGATTTATTTGTTGACGCTCGGTAGATAGCTACATATTCTAAGTGAAGTCACCAACTCAACTCGTCTGCTCCGTACTCAGTCGCTCCCAACCTCCTTCTTCGCTGTCTCCTCTCGCTCTCCCCTCTCGTTCTCTCTCCCCCTCTCAAGGTATCGCTTATATACTTATTACTTATCTACATGTATGCTCGATGACGCAAACTTTGACTCCATTCCCAGAGATTAGATCGATCCAAACTAGATCGACCGAACTCCCTGGGGGTTCTCGCTAAATAGCTGTCAGCCGAGCGGGCACCAAAGTTAATTACCCCCTTACACCTTGTAGTAGGCGGGACGGACATTTAAGCCGGATTATCTGACAGTAATCTAGTGAGACTCCCCACGGGGATAGATCGATCTAAGATCTATGGGAATACGCCCTTTAACTACCTATAATTGTATAATTAATTTCTTTACCTCGGCGTTATACAAAGAGGCCGCCACATTACTCGAGAACTATTGGACCACAACACGTAACATCATTTAAGATATCTATGTCGGGCACGACATATTCCTTCCATTTTTTTCCAGATAAAAACTTTTTTTCATTACTCGTGTTACAGACATTTACTGTAAATAATAACATATATAATATTTACAAAAGTTTACGAAAATTATACATAATTACATGTCTTAAGTGTAGGCCCGGGGAAAACCAGAGATAAAACCCTTTAATTTATATCTTTCTTTATCAATATGGGGAAAAATAGCTCTGGAAACCAGGCAGTTGAGCGTCTTATAATCAAAGTCTTTTCATATCAGAATCATAGTATTTTAGAGTCTTTCAAATAGAATCATCGGCAGACGGCAGGGTGGAATTGCACATCTTCTCTTCGTTGGCGGGGTCCACCATCAGGCTTACCCAACTACCAGACTCAGCACCGAATGATCCCGAATTCACCGGTAGATCGGACCACACTACCCGTTTTTAAGGTGGGTATCAGTGCGCGCTTCCAAGTATCAGACGCGACATCGCTCTTGCCTAGTACGCGATGTGATAGTGATAATTCTCAGCAGGGTTGGAAAGTAGTGCATCTCAATTCAAAATTTGTTCCGGGATATGATACTGTGAAATGCGTACTGTCGCACACCTTGAAAACAGAAATAGGGGCATTAGGCATGTCAAGCGGGCCAAAGAAAGTTTGCAGAGAATCCCAAGATAATGGAAGTTATTTAAACTGCTCTCCAGTCTCTGACGTCATTGTACAATTTCTTTTTAAATCGCATTAAACAATATATATTCACTTTGGATATGACAATTTATTCCAGGAAAACTATCCCTAAACGAGCTCGCCTTAGTTTTAAAAATAATTAACATCAACCAAAAAATAATGAGGAAAAATACCACCTATTTTTACAAGTAATGTGAGCACCTGTCCAATCTATTCAATCATGGCTGGCTACTCAAGACAACAGCCAAAAAACTTAAATCTTAATCTACTCAGTTCCCACAGAACACCCGTTCTGTTACCTAACCCTTCTTTGGGCAGGCCTCTACATAAAATCCCTGGTTACAAATAACCAGTTCCACCACTCCAACATGGAGCATGCCACCCTTAAAAAAAAAATTCCGGTCTGACTTTCCACATTGCGATTTTTAAAATTTTTCGAAAGTTTTAGGCACCGTTCACATGAAAAATCCAAATTCCATGATAAGTTTTGGGTGTCAGAACACTTTTCAGGAAAAACAAAGTTATAATGCTTTTTGGTTTCCGGCAAGTATTCAGTGGTTTTTTCCTCTCCTTTTTTTCAAGCGATCCCAAGAGAAAGTGCTTCCACGACAGGACAGGAATAGTCTTTTCCTGTTTCAATAGCATTGCAATTTATTTCACAAGTCTGGCAAGGTTCTATCTTTACAGCTTCATTAAAGATAAATTTAGATCCATTGTTTGGAAATAACATTTTCCAAGTGGAACTCCAGTCTCTGAGATAACTGATGCCCAGCGTGACCTTGGTTTCATCAATTTCCGTAAAAAGATTTTTGACCATCTTTTTTAATCATGAACCAGCTTAAATAAACAGCCTTAACTGAGTCACACTGCATCCACCCCGAGGTTCTGAGATCAATAGACTTTCACCAACTATCAGCCTGTATGAGAGTTAACCTCTACCAGGGCAGCAGATATTATAGGCACATTTTCCACTAGCCAGCACAGTTAGAAAATTGACCATATTTAGCCAAAGACATCATCTGTGAATATCTTGTGAAAGATCAATCACTGGGCATGGTAGAGGATATATGAGACGACATACCTGTACTGTTTCAAATGCATTCTGATGGTAGAGGGATTTATCTCCAGGGACCTCTGAAACTCAGGGCCCATTCAGCCATAAAATGCTCTTTAAAAATTTTTTGACAGTATTCTAACTCCATCTTTTAATGGCCAGACCTTTATACTCAGTCCATTCTCATAGTCACACAAGAAGTGGTCACTAAAGTCTTATCACTTTACAAAACATTATTAAATTTTGTTTTGCTGATTACTTACAAAACAATGTTAAATTTCGTTTTGCTGTCCATTCTAAGTGATATTTTATTGTGAAAGTTTCATAAGTGTTTTTTTTTTTTTTTTTTTTTTTTTTTTTTTTTTTTTTTTTAAGTAAGAAGTTGAACCACCAGGGAGTCATAATTTCCACATCTTTGGTCATTTTCATCTTTCCAGTTTTAATCATCATCATCATCATCCTTATCCAATGTTCCAAAAACTGCTGACGGAATGGCTTGTTTCTCCAGGTGCACTTCTAAAATGGTAAAATAAGACTTAGTTATCCATCAATTTCTTTTTTGTCAGGTATAAAGTTTAAACCAAAGTGAAGACCCATACAAGACCAAAAATAAAAAAAAAACATCCAAAATTATAAAAACATAGGACAAGAAAAAGGAAAAACCATTTACGACACATCCTACTCCAATGACATAAATCAGAAGATGTAAATTAGTACAACTGACAAAAAATCCTGATTTTCATGATCTTCCAAGGTATAAAGGGCAGGCCTTTTATCATATTGTACTTAAAAATACTATTTAAAGTACTGAAAAGTAAGTGAAAAAACTGCACCTTCAACTGTTTCTTCTTCATCACTTTCAAAGTCTTCATCTATGTTGATCTCTTCTGGATTGTTGGTCTTCGTCATTTCACCAAGTTCTTCTTCAGTTGTATTACTCCTGTTGTGAAAATGGGAGGAAAATGTAACTGGTTCTTCAGTTCAGTGCCATACTGTATAAGTACAATCTTATTCATTTGACTCGTATTTTCAAGTACTGTTGCATTAATTGATACATTAAATGGATAAAAGGATAAGAAACAATGTCCTTAACTTAACAGTTTTATACAATACTGAAGCAACATATTATATAAAGTATGGAAAACAAAACTTCGACATAACAAAATTAAAAACTACTTTTATTAATTTGTGTGTACCTAACAAACAATATTCCTTTCTGAGGTTTGGGTTGGTCTCGCACTGCTTCTTCAGCCAACTGACGTGCTCTTTCTTCAAGTTTTTCCATCTCATTCTTTTCTTCTGAAGCTGACAAGAAAAAAAAACTTGATAAATTCTGAAAGTATATTTGCATTAACAGAGGAAGTCTAATATGCCCTTTATAAATTTGAACTTCTGTGTTCAGACTATGATAGCTGTACATAATTTTTTGTTTAGCAAGCTTTTATTTTTAAACAATCATAATTAGTCCGTTTAATCCAGAAATTTAATAATAATTGCATTAAGGAAATTAAAAGTTCACATTTAACATGCTGGTATGTATGAAAATTTGACAGTGAAAAACCTGGCCCTCTATGGGTCTGAAATTCAGCCAATCAGAAGTGAAAATTTTGTGAAAACAGCGGAACTCAACTGAAGTTTACTGGTCACTTCTGAACGTTTTGTGGAATATGATTTAAGTTTACCTTCAAATCAGAAATTTTAGACAGGTTTATCGACTGCCTCACATGCCATATGCATTTTACACACACACAAAAAAAACAAACAAACAAAAAATCTGGACCAGAATGTGCCACTGTGATTGGCATGGTAATCTTTGATTACATTCATCACCCACATCAGAATTCTAAAAGTGAGCACATATGAAGAATTGAAAATAAAGAACTGTTCTTATTATTATTAAGAAACTGTCACACAATGGCCCAGTGGTTCAGGAGAATCCTCTCCACCTACCAGCCTCTTCTTTAGTGGACTGTGCAGCAAGCATCTGGGCTGACATAAAATTGACCTGGGTGTTGAACGTCGCCTGGACACTTCGTTTGATTCGCAACATTTCTCGCACAGTGTCCTCGTTGCCATGTTGGATTTCAAAGTCTTTCCACGTCTGCCAAAATTCTGCAGTAATCTGAAAAGAAAAAATCAAAATTGTTTGGCTTTGAAAATATGTTTGCTTGTTTGTGCATTGATACTATAATTTTAGTCATTATCAGGAACACTTCTCAAAGTATTGTGAATTAGGAAAAAATCAAGGAAAACTTTGTGAGGTTTGGGGGAGAGGTGGGTCAGTAGTTATTATGGCAGATAAGCAGTTGCTGTGCAGCAATGTATAAAAGCAAACGGATACTTTTCAGATTGTTTTCACTCAAAACACTTAAGTTTCACTCTTAGGTTCTGCCTAATTGCAGTCACAGACTATAATTGCAAATAGCAGAATTCACCACTTTTGTGTCACTTTCGTTTTGCTTTTTTAGACATTCCTGGCATATAAAGTTGTACCCTTATTGCTTAAACAGTTAACCCCAAATTCACTTGGATTCTCAATCCTTTTCTAGTCTTGTATTATGTCATCCATGGCCCTCTGCCAATTTTTCCATCTTAGATGATGCCCATAAAGGCAACCTGTACCACTTATCCATCAAATTTTAATATTTTCATAAAATTCTAAACATACATTCAGGTTAACATTTAACCAATGACAAACAATATTCTATTCAACAGTCCATTTTTTAATTCATTTCAATGGCAATTCAAATATAAATACCCACCCTGGGATCACACATCTGTGAACAATGCCCATAGATGGCTCGAGCACGGTCAATTTCTCCCAGTTTCCTTTCAAGATCAGCGAACTTGAGGCACATACTCCTGTAATGATGAAAGTGTCTCACAGTACTGAATGATACAAATTAAAATCATATCAGAATTGTTCTGAAATTGTTGTCATCATAAATATTGAGATAAAATCCAACTATGAACAAAGATTTTACAAATTAACATATAAATAATATTAAATAAATACATTAAATTCTTATCATCTTTATCATTAAAACATTAAATCAAAATTGGCCATAAAGTCTACATTAACTGGACATAAAAGAGGAACACTTGTTTTAATTAACTCAAACCTCATGAAAAATTCCCCCACATCCTTCCAGAAAGGACACCGTTTTTAAAAATTTTTTTCTAGAATGATCATGAGGTTAAAAATGTGGTGGAATATATATAACACCTTTCTCAGTGTGATTTGCAGTGATTGAGGAAATATTTTTTCTAGCTGTATTCTAGAATTATCTTCAAGTAAAAAACCTGTTGGGAACACTTTCCCACATACCTGGCCTGTTCTTCATTCAAAACTTCAATGGCTTTCTCATAGATTGGTCTGGTGTGGGTCACTCCATACAGCTCTGCAGCTCGCTTGATGTAGATGTTGAACATCTAGAGGTATAGGAAGCAAGAAGCAAAACAGTTTCTTTAATTCAAAAATATTTATGGAATATTAAAGATTTAAATCTGGTTTGAAAGGTTGGTTTTCTTTTACACTGGCAAAAGGAATCGCATACTTTTGGACTACCACAAGTTTTTTTCATGCTAAAAAAAATACTGGACTAGATAAACTCTAGCCCTGACAACTGAACACATACATTGTCACATTCAAACATATAACCTCATAACAATCTGACTATATGTTAAACACTATGCACAATTCAAGGTGTTGAAGCAACATTTTTACAGCTGCCTTCCCAATAAAAATCTTGCCCACATCTGGTCACAGCTATATCTATAAATAGGTGAATATTTTATCCTTTAAAAACTCACCTCATACTGCTCCTCTGGTAACACTCCTTTAGTCGCTCTATCATACACAGACATGGCGTGTCTCGCAAGCCCGTGATCCTCCTCCAGTTTGGCATACAGTAAATAGATAGCTAGGACAGGAATTGAAAATATCAATGACATTCAAATTTACTGCAGCTGGAAAAGAGCTATTACACAGAACAAGAACATGGTGAAATATTTTTATTTAACTACTATTTCAGCACGACAAGGTATATATCATAAAAAGCATACACATTTTCAACAATCTTTTAGACTTCATTAGAGTTTTAGATGGCAGAAAACATTATAAGAGAACATCACATTCTGGGAACTAAAATTACATCACATCGCGCTGAACTATCAAGATGATAAACCTCCATTTATCTCGATAACATATGAAGTGACCAAAATAGCAGAAAACGACTAGAATCTTAAATCCATCTGAAGTTGTATTACCTTTAGCAAACTTAGGTGGGCACTTTTCCAGGCACTGTTCAAACAGATCTCGAGCTCTCTCCAGCTTTTTTCCACCCTGTGATAAAATAACAATCAGCATAATAAGAAGAATGACAAAAGAAAACATTGTCAGTGTTTAATTGAAATTAAATATTTTAAAATATTGAATGCTTTTGTTCACTTGGCATGGCTGACTGATTATTAAAATAGCTTAAAAGACAATTGTTAACCCGTAAAAAAATCTCATCATCAGTGTTATGGACAGTTACAAATTATATATCCAAACGAAAGCTAATATCAATAGCATAACTGGGATTATAACTGTTACCATTATTTGAAGAAATAGAAAGTTTTATTTAAATGCAAGAGAGAATAGAGAGCATGAGAGAATAGTAAAAATTGTACCTTCTGGTGCACTACTGACAAAGGATATATGGATTACTGTATTTTTCTTAGTGTGTTTTTGTGACCATAAATCATTTATTCTATAAAATCACACATACTAGTTTAATGATGCTACTTACATATCTTTCAATGAACTTGGTGAGGTATGTGTTCCAGATGTCGTACACATTGGGCCATTTGAACAAGGCAATCCCTTTCTCATATGCCTAATGTAAAAAAATGTTAACATTAACATAATGAATTCTGAAAAATGACAAACTAAGACTTTGAAATTTAATTTTCTGATTAATAAATCTTCCGTAAATATTCATATCAGGGCTAAAACTCCAAGTTACTGAACATTATCAAATGCAAGAAAAAGAATCTGAAAGAGCCATCCCTACATTATCTTAATATAGTTCACTTTTTTTTTCTCTTAGTTAAAATCTTATCTGCAAAATGAGGATCTATTATCATGTGATTTTTTACCTTAAATTCTTCCTCAAAGTAGTTATTTTCATTCAGAAACATGCCATAGTTGATGATGATCTGAGGAGTGGCTATTCTCAGGTCTATTATTCTGTCATACACAGCTTTACATGTCTGGGGGGAAAAAAAGAACATAAAGATTACAATTCAAGAAAATAATAGTATGCTAAAAATACAAAAAAAAAATTTATACAGAATCAAAGTACACATGCCTTGTACACAGAGGCTGAAATGGAAAATTCAGAAATTTGGAGAAAAAATTAAAGAAATTTCTCAAACTCTCAATGCAATAAGAAGTTAGGAATATACATATTATACAGAGAAAAGGGATTGCAAAACATAAAATAAATAAGTTGACTTTCCTTTTGCCAATGGGAAAAATTAAATGTATAAGATCTTTCTGATCCTATTCTTCCAACAGGATTGTCCGGTCAGACAGAAAATAGCAAACTTTAAAGCTAATTCATATATTCTATTTTAAAGCAAACAAAACCCTTCCCCATGTTTCTTATGCACAGTGCTACTCAACTTTGGCATAGAAAGTAAGACACATTTTGACAGCCCACAGCAAGTTTTGTAAAAGGCAGTTTTTGCTGTATTGCTTGTAATGAGAACAAACAGAGAATTCAGTCAGCACTCACCTTGTAGGTGCCAAAGCTCTCCTCCAGGTCAGCGTACAGTGACCACACCTTCAGGGACTTGTACAATCTGTTCTGTACAGGTTCACTCTAAAATAATGTGATTGAATCAAATAAATATATTAAAACAAGAAAACTCCACACAAAACTTTGAAATACATTAAATTATGAAAAGTGATAATATTAGTGGTATCCACTGTACCAGTTACTAAATTTCAAAAGTGGACATAAATGTTCACTAGAAGTGAGTTAACAAACACTTAGTCTGTGCATAAAAAATGAACATTTCTCATTTCTTCACCCTGTCTTAAGACTTACTATGTCGTGATAGTCTACTTTCCTTGGAGGCAATGCTGTGGCCCTTTGAAGAAGTTTAATGGCTTCTTCATAATTCCTAAAATCAGAATACGACCAATAATCTTGACAAAGCAAGATAAAATGCAAATGAACAAGTTTCATATTAATAATTTAAGTTAAAATATTTCAGTTTTCTGATGCTTTGTATAAGTAAGATCACCATAAAAAGTAGCTTACCAGGTCTATATATGAATAAATAAATTTACTGCAAATTACACAACCGTGTGTTATGGTCTTTAATTGAGCAGCCCTTTTTTAAATTAATCTTGAGGAGATGGATAGTCAAGATCTTGTCTACAGGCTAAGCTAAAAGACAAATTTCATTTGTGAAAAAACAAACTCCACAGAAATAGACTTGTGGTTATTCTGATGTAAGTTAGTATTGTGCTTCATGCTGAATAATTTCAGAATTTATTAATTTTTACACAGACTTAAGAAAGGAAACCACGGATCAATGAAGACATGGATGCTGGGATGAAAGCTTTCACTGCAGTATGCTTTCAAAAGTTCAAAATAGAATTTAAGAAGTCTAGATTTAAAATCATTCAACATAAAAGGCTAGTGCTTACTCGTGTCTTATTTCCATTTCGGCCCACTCACACCAAACTGAAGCCAGGTCGTCCACCTTAACGTATGCCACTTTGGTTGCCTTTTCAAAGATGATCCTGGCCTGGATATAATAATGGTGGTTATATAGTAGCATTAAGCTTACCTAGGACTTTTGTTTCATGGAATAACAAGTGTGATTATTATACAGTTAACATCGATCTTGAACTTACTGTGGATCTGAGGTTTGAGAATAAAAACACAATATTGAACTGTTTTCCTGTAATCCAAAGACATTAGATTTTCACACCCTAGTGCTCACTAAAATTTTGATACTCAATGTTCATAATTTACTCACATCCTCAATTTGCCCAGCAGTGTCATAAAACTTGGCAAACTCTACCCACAATGTATGGGGTTTCCCAGAGGCCAGCCTGGGGTCCACCGTCTGCACAGCCTCAGTGAAGGTGTTGATTATCTAACACAGAGAAAATTTTGTTTGCATTAATTTTGTATGCCTAACATCACATTTTCAATCAGTGCATCCATATGGCAAAACAGAACTAACTAGTAAGAGTAACTACCAGGTTGCAAATCAAATGAGTTACTAATAGTGATAATTTGATAACTGCTGAATAAGCCTGTCAAATACAAAAAAATAATCATTTTCTGGAGCTGCAGTTAAAGTTATATACGAGAATATTTAATGCATACCAATTGGCTTCTATATGTCACAATAACAAGAATTTCTTTCTAAATATACCTCTCTTGGCTTTCCCTCATAAAGCTGCACTCTTTTATGCCACTCATGGACGTTGTGTGGGTTTTGCCTCAGAAGAACACTGGAAAATACAAAGATTGTCCATCAGTGGTACATTTTCAAAAATTCATTTCATAAACATTTCAATACTTAAAATACTTTCCTTCATAAGATTAAATCTTCCCTCAAATTCATTCCTTAAATTGTTTGATTGTTTGAAAACTTGCTGAATATTCAATATATGTATAAGAAATACCTGTTTAACAGTAGAGGCCGCCTGTCCATCAGCTCCTCCATCCTAGCCAATCGCAGCTCTAAGTCAAGGTCATCTTCTTCAGTTGGACCAATCTCTGCTGTGGTTTCCATCCTGGCACTTATCATGCTCTCCTCAAACTGTGCATATGCATCAAATACCTGTGTGAAATCCCTCACTGTCAGAACAGTTTGGATGGCCTCCTCATAGATATCACGTGCCTGTTATGAAAAAATTTAAAACAAAACTTTTCATTTCAAGTATAACATTTTTTAAAGAAAAAGATTATTTTAAACTAAAGATAAACCACTGCATCAACTTTTCTAACAAGGCTTTGAGATTTTACAAGCATTATACTACAAATGAAGAAAGTTTTCACGCATAACTGGTTGCCAAAGAACGATTAATAACACTGTCAGTAATAACTTTCCTAGCATACTTATGAAATGAACCAACTTTTTGCCAATGGGGCTGCTCTGAGTAAAATTTGACAGAGGCACATGAAAGTTTCAAGACAAAAGGTTCACTTTTTCCAAAAGAGAACTCCCCCCCCTCCCCCTCTTTGAAATTTCAGGCTATGGGCCTGATAATGGTGAATTTTCAGTTCATTTTTCTTTTTCTTTGAAGTGCAATTCTCTTTCAAGTAAGTGATAAATTGAACAAGAAATAATAAAGTTTCTTCCTTTGTGTTCAGTCAAAACAAATTATCAATAGCATTTGATGAATAACTGTGCCTTGCACAACATCAGATTTGCTGTAAGTATTACAAAGTTACCACTAACCCTTTCAAAATTCCCTCCTCTAATGTAATAGTCTGCCAGTGAATTCCATAAAAGGCCAACTTGGTCAGAGTATCTCTTTATGCCTTGTCTCAAAATGGGCTCCACTTTCAAATCTGAGATCTTGTCTGGGTTTTTTGTTATACTTTCACATAATTCATTCCAAAGCTATCAATAATAATAATAATAATAATAATAATAATAATAATAATAATAATACAATGAATTAAGTTAATGCAGTTTAAATTTCATGTTATTAGTTGAAGGTATAACTTTGCAATTGACAAATATGTAATATTTGATAAAATCGCTTTGGGAAAACGTCTAACATGAGAAGTCTGTACAGCTCAACATCAAAGTTCTATCATTGCCAAATAAGTCTTTCCCAAAGAAGAAGTTTCCATAAAATTTCCCAGCTTTCTTAAAGCTTACCTGATGCTTAGACTTCCCTGCTTTAGAAACAAAATCTTCGTCATTGATGGTGTCCGCTAATTTCTTGGCAGCCTCGTTCAGCCAATCAATTGTAGTCAAATAATTAATAAACTCTTCAGCATTTTCTGGGAAGAGCTAAATAAACATTTTTGGATTAGTAGTAGTAGCAATAACAGTAATAGAAGCAGTAGTAACCAAGACGGTAGAACACTTTTAAAAAATTATTATCTTTAAAGAGGCTGCCCATCTTTATCATCTGGCAAAATGATGACCACACTGATTTGATGAAGCATATGAAATCAAATCTTTATTAAAAACCTACCTTTAAATACCTCCTATATACCCTGACAGCTGTTTCTTGAAGTGGGTATTTTTTGACAAAGGTAAGGTACAGTGGCCATATTCTATTGTGTTGAGTGATAGGGAGTGCACGCAGGGCGCGGTCAAAGGTCCTTCTCGTCAGGGTGATTTTACTCTGGTCCATTAGAAACTGACAATAGTCTAACCAGATCCTAGGCATCTGAGGACAACAAATAAATATGTATCAAGTGTAAAATCAGGTAAATCTCCCACAATAGGGGCTTGGCCTTTAAAATATCTCTGATAATTCTATAAGGGATCAAACACTTTAACAAATTGGGGAGGGGGGGTCAAGTGGTTGCCTTAGGCTCCATCAGAAGCTGAATTAAAAAATCTCAGAATAATTTGATTCCACAGAAAACCAACTCAAGTCTGAAAACATGGCTTAATTAAAAGTTGGTTATTCCTGTAATATTCCTACCTTATGCATGAAAACCAAAGCACGTTCAAAGGCATTGTTGACACTTTCATATAAAGGATCTGTGATACAATGACCTTTGACCTGTTGTCTCCTTAGCTTCAGGTAGTTGTACCAGAGCTTGTAGCTGAATAAAAGATAAAAATAGCATATGTGACTATGTTTTCTGCCCATATCTGAATTTTGCTCTTATATCTTGATTTCATTTCTTTGTGTTCACTTATTATCTACTTGATTTTACATGATAAATGTATATAGTACTTATAGTGCTTAAGATTTTTGGCCTTTCAGTTGTTAATTTTAAGTTATTTGCCAACAAATCATGCTACATCTGTGGCTTAAAAGATAACTTTCCAATTCACCAGCCTTTAGCCAAACTGATCCTTTTAAACTATCACTATCATTGAACTTTTTCACCTCCTCAAACTCAAATTTTTGTGGAGTATTCAGTAATAACATACCTTCCTGGGAGCTCTTTTAGCGCTCTTTCATAGATCATGTTGACTGCATTCTTGGGTGCTGCTTTCTTGTGGTCAATATACCTAAGCCAACACTTCACTGCATATGGATTTCTTAGAATTTCTTCTTCGTATGGAAGATCCTCTTCCTCCTTCAAATATAGATAACATCAAAATAAAATGAAAAATTAGTAACATATATTGAAAAAAAAAAAACTTTTTTGAGATAGAAATATTTGTACTTATACACTATGCTGACCTGTACTACAAGTGTCTGACTTTAATATTTTCTACATTCAGCAATGTTGTGGCTAACATCTCTCTGATTTTCTAATAAATGAGTTTTAAGATTTACCTCATGATCTGCTTTGATATTTTAACAAGAAATGTCAAGTCCCTTTCTAATATAATGAGACTCAGAGCGGATCTCATTCCAGCGGAACATAAAAATCAGTAAGTAAACTGCAAAACATAATTATCTGAATAGCATATACAATGATAAAAGTCACTACTATAACTGGGTATGTTGCATGACCACCAGATACATTAGAAGTGCCTATAACCTACAAAATTCGAGCTTTTCTTGCTCGTGAATTAAATAGTTGAGCATGAAAATACTTACAAAATATATGTCCGCTTTTCCCTTCAAGACAGGCATTTTAGAGCTTAAACAAAACAGTTCAAAATTCAACGAATTAAGGATATCTAACGTGATGTGGACGTTGCTTCAAAGAATTAGCCGCATGTCCACCATGTTGGATCTAATTAGGTCAAACAGGGCAGAGATATTTTTATTGGGAAGAGAAAATTGATATAGATTGCATAATCAGACACAATCAATATCAAACATGAAATTGTTTGAATTATATATCAATATTTTTTTTCGTAGTTAAAATATCTGAACTTAAAAGCCTACATTATTTTACATATTTCACGCCGAAGTCGTAAATGATAACTGTGCTCCCTTTCATCTTAGACTCGCCCTGTTCAGATAACGCAAATTCTCGCGCGTAATTCGAGAAATCAACAACCGTCACTGCAAAGTCAAGTGCCCACTCAACGAATATTGGTACAGCAGCCACCGAAGAATATCTAACAGAGAAGGCCCATTCTATGTTATAAGAAGCAAATAAGGCAGGTATAGTATACATGCACTTTGTGGTTCTTTAATATTTCTAACTGTAATATTTACAAAGCGAAATTCGTCTCTTACTGGCTTGTACTAGTAACGTCAAACTCGTAACTTGCCTAAATCAATCGGCCTAAATCAATGAGTTAGTTGATCATGATGCTAGTTCCATTGAGTCAAATATTATCTCTACTATTTGCCCTAAGCTATTTATTGGTGGCTTTTAATCACATATCCAAGGAACTACTTCCTAGTAAGTTCGGAAGTTTCAATGATACATGCACACGAACGTCTTTCACTACTAGTAGTACGTACTACAGTACTAGTGACAGTAATAGTACCCCGTTGTGTCCGAAGTAAAGATATTGGTGATGTGATGAGTGTGTGTTGTTTCTTCCAATTGTGCTCCATTATTTATGAGTTATGATATTATAAAGTGACATTGGCGTCAATGATGTTGGTCGATCCTTTTAATTAAGGGAGTGCCACTTTCTGGGACCTGAGACTAACACCCCATTTCCATAGATTAGATCGACCTTCTTTAGATCGACCTTACTCCCTGGGGGTTCACGCTAAATAGCTGTCAGCCGGGTAGACACGAAAGTTAATTACCCCCTTACAGCTTGTGGTAGGCGGGACGGACATTTACGTCGGATTATCTGAAAGTAATCTAGTGAGACTCCCCGCGGGGATAGATCGATCTAAAATCTATGGGAATAGAGCCTAAGTACTAGTAAAATGTTAAACTTTAGTCATTTGCAGTCATTTTGTGCAAATTTTGATTACACCAAGCAAAAGGTATACAATTTCTGAAAGACATATTTTTTTCCATGTGTATATATCTAGAAAAGCTACAAATCTTTCCTAAAAAACCTTAAGAAACTAAAATATCCCTCAAATAAAAGCACTGATGCCAATTGAAATGTACAAGAAGATATGGCGTTCTAAATGACTGCCAGTCATTTAAAGCTAAATCATTAAATAAAAAATGCAATAAAACAGTAAACCAAATTCAGGGAGGAGTAGAGCAATGATTTCATTTTGTGAGTAGGAGTAAATTGCTTTTTTCCCTTGAGGAAAATTCAGTTTGATGGGTAAATCCCAAGTGTGATTTATCAACCTAGTACCAACATCACAATATTCCAGTATAATGCACATGTAGATCATGGCCTCTTGTATCACAGTGGAACATGCTAAAACATCTGTGACGTCAATACCAAGCACTTGTGCTAATGGAAAAAAACAGATTTTTTTCATTGTTTTCTATATATAATATCTCCAGAATTTCTTTTTCATTGTTTTCTGTTTATAATATCTACAGTATTCTTTACAATTCTGATTCAGACTTGGTGGCATGGTGCATATCAACCATCAATCGGATTAAACTGCGAAAATGTTAAAATATAATAAGGTTTCAATTTCATGCATCCATGAGTTCAGTTGATGTACTTGTTTCAAACCTATTTAATGCAAAGGGCTTATTTTCTGAAAAGAGGGGGAAAACATTAAAGCACAAACCCCAAATGCTTTTCATAAGGGTATAAAGCTGTAGGTTATAAGAAGCAGAGTAGTTTTATATTGGTTTAGGTCCAGATCTTTCACCCAGATGACCAGTGTAATTGACTTGTGATTTAATACTCTGAAAACCAATTCAATTAACAGGTGGTTTGATAGTCTGAGATCACACAATTGGGGGAAAACACACCCTGTATATCAGAGCCATTTTGTCACTTGCTGCATATATCAGGATTTGTACTGTAGATATCCACATAGTTTGTTATACAGGGTGGCAGAACAAGACAGTGGTGCTGAAATCGCTCTGGCTTTTTCTGTTCATCCATGCAGCTCTGGTTTCCTTTCCATTCAGCAATTTAGATAGATCACATGATAAATCATATAATAAATTGGCCAAGGTTTGAAGAAGGTGTTTCGTTTTCTATTCCCAGTGCAAATTATCCCTAGGCTAGCATAATCAAATTTTGGTGAGTTCAGTGATCGAAAGGAAACAGGGTTACTAGTACATACTTTCTGTATTTCATTTCTAATCTTTACTTCTCCTTCAATACTAAATATGGCCCCAACTCGTGGTAACAATTGATAATTGATTTTCCATTCAGCGTTATGTGTGAAAATGTTTTGATTTATGTCTATAAAATATTTAATGTGTCCCATGAAAATGTGATTCCCTTTGTTTTCAGCCAGGTGGTAAACTTCCTGCTAATGATTTGATGAAAATTTGATTTTGGACATGACATATTATATTTTTTCAGAACTTTGTTCTTAGCACCTTGTACTTGTAGGAGATTTCTGCTTTATTGTGAATATTGTTTTGGTAGTTCAACTGGCTCCCTACAGTACATTAAAATGTGTACATACAGAGATCACTATGTGTACATTGCAGCATCATCAGCATATGCCCGCTTTGCCAGGGTTTTTTTCCAGGATTTGGGGTACAGGGAGTCCAAAGTGTTGATCTGTAAAATTATTTGGTCATCGCTTTACAGGGAGTCCAACTACAAATATATATACCATCATTCCCCAGATATTTCATAAGCAATCCAGCCATCTTTGAAAACATAGAGCATCGTTTGAGGCCAGTGGCCGTCCTAATGATGGCTAGACAGCTCTCTTGGGAAAGCCTTGCCGCTATGATATCTGAATTGTATGATTAATTCCAGTACGTACCTATTGACACAAATATGATGTCTGCTTTTTTTTTTCCCTTTTTTGACCTGCTCTTCACTTGTTGTAAATGTCTACTGGTACTTACTAGTAAAGGGATAAAAGGTCTCCCCAGGATATCCATATTTTACAATAAATACTTTGTAAAGAACCCATAGACATATTAATATAATTAATTCTCTTTTACCACCGAAATCGTGGTTATTCTGAAATCAATGCTGGCCATAGGACCACATGACTTCCATAGATGGCTAACCCCAACCCCTAAACTATAAATTTCTTAAGATATTGTTATAAAAAAGCACTTTTTAGAAAAAAGGGACTGACATTGAATGGCAGAATGGATTCTTTTACCATTGGTAAGTATGGGAAAATTGTCATTTACTGCAGTAAAATCCATTTTTTCGGCTAAAATGGACAGTTGTTATCCCTTCAAATATTTGTCATTAGGTGATGTCATGCAAAAATGTAATTTCTCTGTAGCCTTGCACCCATTTTCACAAATCAGTAATAAACCATTAATGAATTAAAGGGATAATAACTCTTCGTTTCGGCCAAAAAATGAATTTTCCTGGAGTAAACAACAATTTTCCCATACCAACCAAAGGTTATTGAATCCATTTTTACATTCAAAGTTAGTCCCTGGTTTTTTTCTAAAAAGTTTGGTTTTTTGTTAAAACCTCTTAAGAGATTTTAACAGAGTATAGCCATCAATGGAGGTCACGTGGTCTAAAGACAAGCTCAGATATCAGAATAATAGCTATAACTGCCGTTTTTGTGGTAAAACAGAATATATTATATTTCTATGAGTTATTCACAATGTTTTTATTGTGAAATATAGATTCATATGAAGAGTTATTATTCCTTTAAGTATTTTTCATTTTCTTTGCCAAAATATATTTCCTTTTTTTCCAATTTGGTGAACGCTTGTGATGGTGCAAAAGTGTTGTTTCTCTGGCTCACATATAGTAGAAAGTGCATATTTGTATTCACAGAAAAGACCACCTTGAAATTGCTTTTGAATTCAGCTCTTGAAAAATCATGTAACATTAAGTTACATGAGTGTTAGACTGAATAGCAAAAGTTGAAATTTTCTGAAAATTGTCAACACATTGCTTAATTGCCAAAGTAGGCTGTATCCAAAAGTGTTAACTAAATAATGATCTTTAAACTAGCATTTGAGCCACCCTTACTCTTATAATGGAGATGGAGAATGTTTGATTTCATTATTGACAATAAATATTAAAAATTTAGATCAATAAAACAGGCTTATAGAAATCATGTACCAGTAGTCTCCATTGTTTTGGATAGGGTATACCATGGTGAAAAGGGGGAAAACCGTTCAGTTTTCCAGGAAAATCAATTATTTTTTTCTATAAAGATCAAAAGTGCATTGCATGCCTTTAAAGATGTTATTAGATACTGCATACCTTCTTTTTATGTATATCCATATACACCAGCCCAATTTTCTGAATGTCCATTTCAAAAATTGGTGGCGATAATGCTGTTACACATTATGCAATATTGCATCAAATTTGACCTAAGAATGATTTTGCACTTGCATCAATATGTTCTGCTTTTTGACTGAACATTAAACAGCTTTGCTGCCTTTTTTGACATTTAATTTTTGATTTTGATTTTATATTTCAGACATGCTGAAACTGTCGGTCCGATCGGTCATGACCAGGAAAATTTGTCTGGACCGGTAGAAAATTGGACTTGGTCGGTCCAAAGGACCGACAAGAGCTTTAAGAACCGCAATTTTGAATTTACAGTCATCTTTTGACATACTTCATTAATAAAATTATATAAAACCCAAAGCATTTTTCTCCTCCTTTTCAAAACTATCACATTCACAAACAAAGTAAGCTACCCTAATCGTACTGGTAGTATCTGTCTCAAATGAACAGAGTGATTTTCGGTCCGACAAAAATCCATTTGGTCCGACAAAATTTTCATTACTGCTGGTCCAAATGTCCGGCCATTCTGAAAAGTTTTCAGCATGTCTGTATTTTTAAATGGATATTTTCCCCTTCTCTCTCTCTCTCTCTCTCTCTCTCTCTCTCCTAAAAAAAAACTGTATAACGAAGAAAACAAGTTAAGGTCAATTTATTTTTCATTGCCTGTGTCGTACATGAAATGGTGAAAAATTCTACTGTTTAATGTTTGCCTAGATTCTCTAGATTCGCTCACTCATGTACTTGTCACAGTACCACATTATTCGTTTCCTTGTGAAGATGTTTCCTTTAATAACATGGCTTTATGCATTATTCTCTGCTGAATGTCCATGTACATACTAGTACTGTAATTAAAAGCGTTCAAGCACC